ATAAATGACTCGCCATTCCCCCGGCCCCCCCCCCCCTTTCCTCCCCCGCGGCCCCGCCGGAGCATCCGCAGTCCCAGCCTCCCAAATGTCGCTGTGGGGAGGGGGGGTGGGGGGGAGCATTCGGAGACGAGTCGGCGCGGAGGACCGCCGCGCCTTCATACTTTTTTCGAGCAGAGAGGAGGGACAGTTCTGACGTTAGTCCTCGGCGGGTGACGCGAAGGCACAGGCTGGCGGGCGTGGCAGGGCGCGGCGAGGCAGGGCGCGGCGAGGCTGGGCGGCGCGTCGCCGAGCGGGGCGCGTAGGCCTAGCAATGAGAATCGTGAAATTTGTACAGCGCGGGGGCTTTCCGGGGAGAGCCAGGCCCAGGCGGCCAGACGGGCCCAGACGGGCCCAGGCCTGCCGAGCGAGCGGGCGAATCAAACTCGAGCCGCGCGCAGCCGCCTCACGCCGAGGGATCGTTTCGTCGCTCTGTCTTTGTCCCACTCGTGGGGCGTCCCGGCGGAGTGCGAGAGAGACAGAGCGACAAAGTTCCGTTCGGAATCAGCCTGCAGACCTCGTTTGAATTTCCCCGTCCGCCACCGAGTCGCTGCGCCTGCCTGATTTCACGCCGAGCAGATCGGGGCGGGGCGGGGCGGGGCGGGGCGGGGCGGGGCGGGGCGACCCGTCGTCTGTCTGAGGCGCGCGCAGGCAGAGTGGCAGAGCGCCGCGAAGCAATGCCGAGCATTGCGCGGCAGGCAGGCAGGGCTCTGGGCTGCTGGGCTGCTGGGGCCTCGGCCCGTGATGGAGAAGTCACTCTAATGTGACAACGTAAGTCGACGTAGGACGCAAGGCTGCGACGCGGGCCCAGGCCCAGGCCGGGGCCGCGAAGCTTCCCTTCATGAGAAAGGGCCCGCCCTTACATCATGCGAACCGGGCGACCCTCTCGCGGCCTCTCTCTCTCCCTCTCTTTCTCTCTCTCTCCTCTCCCTCTTTGTCTCTCTCTTTCTCTCTCTCTCTCTCTCTCTCTCTCTCTCTCGCTCTCTCCGATTCGAGCCGTGCCGTAACTCGCGCGGGCTGCAGTTGCAGCGACGGTGGCGGGATGAAATACATCGAGGGTCGCCTCGCCTCGCCGAGCAATCCCTTTCATAAAGAAAACCAAATCATATTTGGAGAGGCGGCAGCGACCAGCCACGGCGCGGCGCTTGGCGTGCGCTGCAACGCGAGCGCGGCACGGCCGCACGGCCTCGGCGTTGCGGGTCTATTTGGAGACGCGGCCACACGGCACACGTGTACCGAGGCCGGCAGCGGTCACGTGGCACGCAGTGGCACGCAGTGGCGTGGCGTGGCGTGCCCTGCCCTGCCGTGCCACGCCGGGTGTGGGTTTCACATGTGCTGCACGTATCGCAAACATTAGCCCGCATGGCAATGAGGGTCCAGGACTGTCAAGGCGGGGCGAGGCGAGGTCACGGGGAGGAAGGGGCAGGCCGTGTCAACACACACACACACGCACACACGCCCACTCCGATTCCGGCCCTCGGCTTGTCAGGAGGATGATGGTCCCATTCGGCCCTCCTCGGCCCTCGGTTGAGTCAATTAGCGACGGTCCGTCGACGCTTTGCTGTTTCGTCGAGCCGCCGTCCAGACTTCCGGACTTCCAGAGCCACGGGGTCGCCTCCAGTACCCCTACTGGACTGGGAACCCCTCTAAATCCGAGCTCCAGGCGCGGCCAGGCGCCAGACGCCCTGGCGGAGCTCGCGGTGCCTAGCGCTGCCCTGCTCGAGTCCCTGCTCCACGACCTCGACAAGTGCGGCGCGGTGCGGCGGGGGCCTCGGCCGCCACCCCGGCGCGGTGAGACGGGGCGACGGGGCGACAGATTGTTGGCACCGCGTCCTGTCCTCCCTGCCCCGCGCGCCCCGCGCCCCGCCCCGCCTCGCACTTGAGTCTTGACTCGCGTTCCGGGGGTGTACATAAGGCCAGATAACATCCCCACTTCGCAGACAGGCCGAGGCACAAGGCACGGGGCCCCGGGGGCGCGCAAGGGGGCGCGCCGCGGCGGGGAACAACGCCGAGCACCTGGTGGCGGAGCAGCACAGCACCGGGGCCGCGCGGGGCCGCGTCTGCAGGTTGCAATGCATACCCGTGCCTACCCGTGCCCCATGCCTTTGTTCCACCTGCCGTCGCTCCCACGTTTGGTCCTGCGTTCGGTCCTGCGTTTGGTCCTGTGGTTGGTCCTGTGATTGGTGCCGCTCCCGGTCCCACGGTTGGTCTTTCCTTCGGCCCATTCCGCCGTGGGTTGGCCGTGGGGTACCTCACATGCTGCGCAACCACGACAGGGCCGCGCGCCCTGCCCCACATCACAGCATGATTCATGGCTGTCGAACGGGAAAGTTTGCGAAACGAAGCAGGATAGCGGGGGCGGGGCAGGAAAAAGGGGGGGGGGGGGCTGGCGGCCGCGTAAGGATGTATTGAACGAAGAGGGGGCTAAAAGGGTCGCGGGGAGAGGCGGCGGTGTGGCGGGGTGTGGTTTGGTGACGCGGGAAAGGTTGCTGCCACCCGACCCGCTCCAAACAAGGAAATGGGTGCGTGTTTACGTCTTTTGTTGTTGTTTTTGCACCATTTCTGATGGAAAGTTTAATTTTTAATTTTACGCCGCAGTGGCCGCGCCGATAGATAGCCCGCACGCCGTGGCGACGCGACTCCTCAGGAATAACTGCACGTCAACACGTCCGCGGCAATTTGTCACGGAAAAGACGGGCGCGCAAAATGGAGATAAGTGAAAAAGGAAGGAACAAAAAGAGAGAGAGAGAAAGGGAGAAAGAAAGAAAGAAAAAGCTGTGCGCCGTCCGCGGGGTTACGGACCGCAGTACGTCACGGCGCCACGCCGCGCCACGCAGCCTGTCTTATCTCAGGCCAAGAGTGCGGTCGTCATAAGTGTGCCAAAAATGGAGCGGCTCTCCCTCTCTCTCACTCTCTCTCTCTCTCTCTCTCCCTCTCTCTCTCCCTCTCTCTCGCACACACGAGAGGCTGCGTGACTGGTCGCGCCCGAGACATCATCACGAACGGTCATTTGTGGTCCAGCCATCAATGGCAATAGCAATGGCACTGGCCGCATAGCCGGGCCATGACGCCTGCTGGGTGGGCATCGCGGAAGCTCCACTGTCGGCCGGACTGCCTACCCAAAGAAAGAGACGGCGCCCTCAAGTGGGCCTCTCTGTACACACATGCACATGATGTATTCACGCGCGCCCACACACATACACACACATCACACACATTCACATACACATACGACAGTTGGACACTTAACATACATGTAAACAGCCGATGTGAATGAACTCGGTGAGAGTCGATGCTGAGCGCTGTGGGACTGCGAAGACGCGTTGGTCGGGAGGCTGGGAGCGAGCGAGCGAGAGAGAGAGAGAGAGAAGAGAGAGAGATAGGCGAAGACAGTGGGAGGGGAGAGGTCATTCCACTAACAGGACAACGACGTGCGTTTTACGCTGTCGTTCAAATATTGAGAGCACTTGCGCGTCGCCTCGACTCGTCCAAAACTTCTCCCCTTCCTCTCCTCGCCCTCCTCCTCCTCCAGCGATAGTGTCATGAAAATTTACAACTCAACTCAAGAATGCACTGAGCTCGCCAACTACCCTGCCCCCCCCCCCCCCCCCCGCTCACCCCCACCCCTTCTTTTCTCTTCTCATTTTTCAGGGCAGCGTTACGCCCGGAAATAAGGATCCGAAGATGTGTTTTCTTCGCGCCCGACACTTGCCATGTTGTTTCCTTTCACGCGGACTATATTCACCCCTCTCTCTCCCTCGTCTCGTCACTCTGCAGGGAGCGTCATCGGGGAACTGCACCGTAACTCCGCGAAGCAAACTGGCGTGGCGGCGCTGGCGGCGCTATGGGAGTGGTTCGAGTGGCGCGAGTGGTGCAGGGATCGCTATTTTAGTGGCGGAGGGACGAGGACGCCGAAGACGAGCTCGCCGACGTCGGCCAGGTCGAGGACGTCTCGAAAAAGAGGGGGAAATGTGGCTGACGCTCTACACAAGTGATATCCCCCCGCCCCCTTCTCTCGTGCTGCCGGGTCCTATCAGGCGAGGGTAGGTCGTCAAGGCGACATCGCAGAGGGCAAGTTTACGAGAGGGACCAGGCCAACCAGGCCGGGCGGGCCGGGCGGCTAAATGATTCAGGGCGAGCTCAGGAGGAGATGATGATAATGGGAAAACATGTTGGGGGAGGGGGAGGAGGAGTACAGTACACTTTGGCCGGCAGGACCTCCTAGCCGGCAGAGCTTGGCCAGAGCTTGGCGAGGGTCGCCGTTCGCCTGATTGTGAGCCGGACTGCACGCCGTCCACGCCAGCCGCGCCGGCCACCCCGGCAGCCCGGGGCAGTTCGTCAACGTCAACGTCGGCGCCGAACCCGAACCCGAACCGCGGACCCCGAACGCCACGCAGCACGCCGCCGAGGCGCCGCCGGGTCGCCGCCGGGTCGCCGCGGGGTCGCGAGGGGTCGCGAGGGGTCGCGGGGCGATCGCGGGGGATCGCGAGGGGTCGCGGGGGTTGCGAGGGGGTTGCGGGGGTCGCGAAGGGTGCGGGGGTTGCGGGGGTCGCGGGGTCGCGGGGTCGGGGGTTCGGGGTCGCGGTCGGGGGGTCGCGGCATGGTGTGGGCGGGCCGCCTTTCTGACAGAGTAGCGCGCGGTAACGAGCGCCCAGGGATTACGGTAGGCGCAGAGCGCGCAGAGCAACAAAAGTGCAGAAATTAAACGTGCTGCAAAACCGGGGGGAGGGGGCGATAAGTCGACCAACAGCATGCCGCGCAGCACGGCGCAGCGGGGCAGGCCATGACGGCCTTGTTCCTCTCTCTCCTCCTTGTTCCCTTTTTCCCTTTTTCCGGCTCAGTCCTCTCCTCAATGAGTGCACTGAGCTGCATGCCGCCATGCCGCGCTGCCGGCCTGCGGTCTGCGGGGGACCGGGGGACTGGGGAACTCGGAAGAAAGGGGCCGGAGGGGAAAATGTAATCACCTGGGCTGAGGTTGTGCTGCAGTGGCTGCGCCTAGCTGCGCCTGCCGAGGCAACCAAAGCCTGGAAGCACCTGGGAGGCGGCAGGCCGGCGGCCGGCGCAACGACTTTGGTGGTGCCGGGTGCCGGCGGGTCGCCGGGCCGCTTCGGGGGCGACGCACTGACGCACTCGATGGCTACTTTGTTGCACTGCACCTGCTGCTCGTACTGCTAGCACTGCTGCTGCACCTGTGCTCGCACGGACGCACGGACACCTCGCAGCGTTCGTTCGAGGGCTTCGTTCCGACCGTAAGGTCCACTGGCTCTACTGGCTCCACAGGCTCCACCGCGGGGCACTGCTTCTGCTTGAACGCGGGCGGAATGTGGGCTTCCCTCGCGACAGTGAGCCAGCTCACCCACAGGTTACGGTGTGCGTTGCGGCTTGGCCGGGCTTGGCGTGCGCCGTATGCCGAGCACAGCGCCACCCAGTCACACAGATCGGCAGACACTCGGTCGCACAGACGAGCGACGAACGGAACGGACAGACTGGCACACTGCGCGGGGGTGGTGTGGTGACTGTGGTGGCGGCGCGCACCGGCCGGCCGGTCGCGTCCGCACACGTCGTGGGGGCCGCGCGTCGAGAGGGGCGGCGGAGCTGCGGCGTGGCTGCGATGTGAACGCCCCGACTGCTCGCCAGAGACTGGGAGACTGGGCGGCCGTCGCTTCGCTTCGCCTCGCCCGCCGCGCCGCATCGGCACCAGCCCCCTCGCCCACGCCGCCGCGCCGCGCCGCGCCTCCCTCGCTCTCTGGCCGGCCCCGCCGCCGTGCCGCCGTGCCGCCGTGCCGCCGTCGCTGCATTTCGGCGGTTGTCTTCATCTGCCCGCGCAACGTGCCCTGTCGCCGCGCCTCGCCTCGCCTCGCCGCCCCGCGCAAGTCATGCGACTCCTTTTATTCGGTGCCGGGCCGGGCCCGGGTCGCCCGGGTCTTGTTGCGGGCCCCGGCGGCGTCTCGGCGTCGCGGAGATGGCTTCGGACCAAGATGAATACAATTCGTTCATTAGGGGCGCGGCGGGGCAGCGGGGTGACGACGACCTGCGGACTGATTCCGAGAGTCGTCTACGTCGCCCTGTCTCTCTCGCACCTGCACGGGACGCCCCGTGGGTGCGAGAGAGACCGAGCGACGAAGGCGACTCTCGGAATCAGTCTCCTGCGAGGATTCGCAACTCCATTACTCCGAGCCGGCCGGTGAAATGGTGAAATGGGGAACGAGGAAGGGGGAACGGGGATGCGCCTCCACCTGGACAACGACCTCGCCTCGCCTTGCTCTCCGCCCTCCGCGATGCCGACCGAGTCGGCCCTGGTCGGCCCTGGTCGGCCCACGCTAAAAGGCCAGAAAGACGAGGGTCGCGAGGGGCTCGCCGACAAGCTCACCCGGGCCCTGGGCCTGGCCAGGACTGCATGCCAGCCTGGCCGACCTCTGGCCCGCAGGAACCAGCAGAAACATTTCATCCCTCTGCCTGCTGGGCTGCTGCTGCTGCCGAGGCTGCGGCGGCAAGCCTGCGGTCGGCGCCACTGCTAATTCCGTGTTCCCATATTAAACGTAACGGCCCGGCCCGGAGGTGTGGAGGGCGGCGAGGGCTAGTAGGGTGGTCCGGAAGGGTCAGGCCTGGCCCTGCCCTGGCCTGCCCTGCCCTGGCCGGCAGAGGGCTTGGCGTTGCAATATGTGATAAGAGGCCCTTGACTGCGACGCCTCGCCGCGTGCCCCGTGGACGCGACACGCCACGCGCCTCGGGTCTTTGCCAGTTTTATGTACTTTACCCCGCGACGCCCCGACGCCTCCCGCTCCCTCCGCCTCCCCCGATCCTCCCCAGCCTCTTTATTCGCGCGCGCCTTTCATCTTTCGGCCCATCTGCCTCGCCGCCTCGCCGCCTCGCTGCCACGGCAGTGCCGCCCCAGCATTTTCTTTGTCGCGGCCGCAGATAGTCTTGCGCCCTAACGTGCTCGAGACGAGGGCGGGGTGAGTGCACGCCGGCCACGCCCGGCCACGCCCGGCCACGCCGGACCCCGAGAGTGAAAATTTCCGCACTATCGCGGCGCGCCCTCGTCGCCCTCGTCCAAGCCTTTGCGTACCCACCCCCAGGCAAGCACACAGCCGGTACTGTACGTGCGCGTGCCGAGCCAGGCCGAGCCGGGCATCAGCATCCAGGCACGAGCGTGAGGCGCAGCGCCTTATTATTGTTATTATGACGCGCTCGACGAAAGCAGAAGCAGACAGCGGGATATTAAAAAAGTTGGGCGGTCGGCGCCTCGCGGTGGAGGGCGGAAGGCTGCACGGAACGGCTGCCCGCCGCGGGCTTGCTTGCCTTCCTTGCGGCTAGACGCAGGCAGGCACGGGTTAAGTTACGGCAGGACCGCGGCCACGCCATGGCTACTGGCTACGCGGCCAGCCCCACTTTGATACTTCCAGGTCGCGTTGCCCCTGCCGAGCGGACGCTCTCCCTGTTCCGTCGTTTGGGTTTACTGGGTTTACTGCGCTGCGCCCACTGCAGCGGTTGCGCAGCCCTTCGGTTGGCTGGCCGGGTGGACCCGGGCGGTGAGTGCATCATTCAAGTTTTTCGAAAAACGGGCGAGCGGTGTTTGTCTGCGTCAGATTGTCCCGGAGCGGCCAACTGAGGGAAATAAATGCACGGGACGTTCAACTTCGCTCCCCGTCGCCCCGCCCCCGCCCCGCCACTTTGAGGACGCCGACACCCCAGCGCCCGCGTCAACGCCCTTCCCTTCCCCGCCACTTGAAGCGTTGTTTCTAATTTGTTTCTCCCTCTTTTGCATTTCAGGTTCGATAGGCTAAGCAGTCCGACAAATCTTTTGTGTGGCCAGTCTTCGGGCCAGAGGGACATTACCGATGCAAATTACTCAAATCTCATTAGCTGTATGCTAGGAGCTCAGAGAAACTGGGCCTTTGAGACAGAAGTGCTTTGGGTCGCTGTCAACTGAAATGAGCAATCAGATAAATATATTTGTTGATTTGAGATTTATTAAACTATAAATAATGTGAGAATTGTGATGTGATACAATCAATAAATAATGACACAGCTTGAAGCATACAATTTATAGAATAAACAGTGGAATCGCACAAAAAAATGTTAAGTGAGCACATTTTCCAGCATTCTTTTCTTTCTGCCAAATCATTGCCTATTGCCTCTGTTCATCATCTTGTTTTTATTCATTTTAATGAGTTTTGATAAACTTATGCAAGTAACACACCTCTCAGCAAATTGTGTTATAAATAGCTTTATAATATTGTCACAACTAAAAATCTTGCATGGCTCTTTAATTCTTCTATACATAATTTCAATGAGTCATTTGGTAGGAATGCTTGCTAGCTAGTCAAATATGATCAAAAAGAATGTCTACAAAGAGACTGCAATATACAGTACTAACAATAAGAGTATACATAATGGAATCTGTGAAAACCAGGACAAAATACTGCTCAAAGTCTAGTTTTTAACAAATGATTATTAACAAGTAAATACAACTGAAATAAATGTATGCAAGTAAAACTGTTTCACCTCTTTTTCTGGAGATATGACTGCCTTTTCTACAAAACTTCTGCAGTTATCTCTATTTCACTGCAAACATGTGTCAAGGGTAATAAGCAGCAGTACAAAGGTCACACCACACATGCTCCCATCCTAGAAAAAAGTTTCTAGGTAAAGGACATAAGCAAATCAACCAACCTAAATACATATTAGAGCAAGATGGCCGTAATTTTTCATCAACGAGCAGATACATAAAATCACAAAGCAAATATAATCCAACTAATCACAGCCAACGGCAAACTGAAAGGCACCTCACCAACACCGTTTGAAGTTAAAGTACATACACCCATAAAGAAAATGAGGGGTTCTGCTAGATCATTGATACAGACAACTTGTATGTGTAAAATTACAGCTAGACATTTTTCACAGGCTCATAATAAAAAAACAGGAAACCAGAATTTTGTTTAGACAAGAAAATATAATAAATGCAGTTTCGAGAATAGCAACTATCTGACACATTAATGTTTTTAAAACGTGTCTTAGCCTAGTCCTTAAATAATAGTTTTAATTTTACCTATATAGTTAGGAAAAAAGAAGCTGGAGAATTTCCTCACTATTCCAGTCTTCTTTATAATGTTGGAGAACAATACGATAGTTTTGGGGGCTCTTTTTAAAATGACAACGCTGGATTTCTTTACCACTCTGAATGAGATACACAACATAATGAAATGGCTGCTGAAGCTCAAAGTTGATACATACAATTATGTACAAAACTTTGTTTCTCCTTTGCAGAGAAGTTATGCTTTCATTACTTGCTAAAATAAAACAAAAAGCAAGTATTTACTATTGAAGCCCCATGCCCACAAAATTATAGAAAACAAAAAGAAACACTTATAAATTGATCAATGAAATCTTGTGCACAACCCCAAAATTATCCACACAATTATTCAATGTGCACTTCATAACATGATTGACTGATCCAAAGGATGTTATGATTAAATTAATGACACTTTCACATTTAGGACAAAACCTACACTGCGAAGCCAGATTATTTACAGTACTACATATGTCTTGTAATAAATATGAGCATGAAGAACATACACAGAGCATCTCTCATTACAATGAAGCTTTTGTGTAGTAGCTTGAGATGGGTACCATCTCTGTAATTTTCAGAGTACAGTTTAACAGTTCAAACTCAAATTTAACCTAAGGTTTTAATCTGTGTGAAAATTTACAGACATATCAATTTGCTGCAAGAGATGCCATAGCCCGAATAAGAGCAGCATTTTCATCCCGCAACCTCTCTCGTTCAGCTGCCATATCACGTTGGAGCTGTGTAATACGCTGCTCCAGAACATTGATTTTGTGGTCGCGATCTTCTAGTAGGCTCAGAAGACGGCGGTTCTCTTCCTGGGCTCGCTCTAGTAACTGAAATGAAGTCAAAAGCACATGTATATAGGATCCAAAGTAATCATCTAGTTAAAACTTGAAAAAAAAAATGAAATAGCAAACATTATTAAAGACTTTACCTCTTCTGGGTTTTCTCCTGTGGGAGTACCTGGTCTTCGACATTGAGGGACACTGCTTACAGTGGAGTCTGACTGGTTCAGACTATCCAGATCCTGGTTGTCTTCATCATCTGCCTCTAAATCTGATGGGCTGGTGGAGAAATAATGTTTCATTGTTAAAAATAAGATTAAATCTATGGACATTTGCATCTATGTTTTATTCATGCAAAAGGAAAGATGGGATGAAAAGATTTAGAGTATGCACTATTTAACTTCTCTACAGATAATGTTTCATCTTACAGGAAATGGCTACCAATACGGGTAACGCAAGATATTGGGAAAGAATAAGATGGGCAGAGGATTATCAATTAAAACAGAGGTCCAGAAAACTGAAGAAAGGAAGGAAAGCTCTGGTGCTCATTTTGGGAGACGATCACAATACACTATCATTATATTGGTGTGAAATAAAACCTACATTTGTTGAAGGGGTCAGGCAGAATACAAAACATTCAATTATAGACACCACAATGAAGTCTGTATATTCTCATTCCATGCTAAGGTTCACAAGGTTTTTCTTTGAAATGTGTTGTTCACATGAACACGCCATGCATAATTTAATTAATAAAGTAAGATCCTCACTTGAAAACAGACAGCAGTGGAATTTCAGAATGCATCAACAAATATTGGGCATTAGAACTCACTGTGAAGGGATTGTTATATCTGTAGGCAATATAAAAATGTAGAGAAAAATTTAAGATGAAACTTAAATTGAAAGATACTGAAAAAATTCTTTTGCATATCACAAATTGAGTAATAAACTTTTGTCTTTTCACAAGTTTGGGTGTTTCCTTGTGCATGAATTTGATTGAAAGAAAATAATCAAGTGAAAGTACTTTGTACATTCTCAATGCCCTAGAGCTATTTCTATAAGACATCAAACCCACCGAATGGAATACCTAAATAAAGGTACACTGATTCTAGAAAGTAAACACTTTAATAAGAATCTTACCTTTTGCTCCTTCTCTGAGGAAAGGTTTTGCAAACTGCTCTTTCCTGTAATGAGAAAAGTAAGGGCAAATGAAAGGAGGCAAAAATAAAGGGAGGACACCTTGTGGCAAGCAAAACTTCAACTTGATGAAATTTACCTCAGGAACTGATTCATGCGTCAGATGCTCATTTTGAATTGTGTTGCGGCGAGTTTCAGCAGTAATTGAGAGAACATCACCTTCATCTTCTCCTGTGCTGCCTCCAGTAGACTAAACAAAAGGAAAGCATTAAAGAAGAATATTTCCTAATTCAAAAGGATCAGAAACAATAGATACACAATACAACAATGTTTAAAAAAAAAAAATTGTTTTAAGGAATATACAAACCTCAGTTGATGGTAGATGAACAACCCCAGTGCTGCGGCGCTTTTCACGGAGTTTTCGTCTGTCCCGTGGTTGCTTTCCTTTGTTAAGATGATTAGGCCTAAAACAGACACCTTTATGTGAGAAACAGTTTTTGCAATGATTCCTACTATCACTGATACCCTCAAAAGAACGTCCTCAACAAGAATAAAACACAAAAAACTCTACCTGTTTAGATGATCAGCAAGAGGCTGTCTCACAGGAACATTTCTATTCACTCGTTTTTCTTTGGTTCTACTTAGGGGCTTTGGGCTAGCGTCATGTTCACCACAATTGGGGCCCCCAATATTCAAAGACTCCGACACTTTCATCTCACTGAGGCTGTCATCAATTTCACCTGCACAAAAAACAAAAAGTGATGAGTTAAGCAGAGGAAGACAATCATCAAATGATGATGTGCAACTTTAGTAAGAAGGATCAAAGAAGTACAAACCAACTCTCGTGGTGGGATTAACAGTTCTCGCTCGAGCGGTCCTAATCCTAGACCGTCTGGATGATAGTTCAAAATCATTTTCCACATCCTCCTGACTTACAGAGCTGGATGCCATTGTTAGCTAAGAGAAAAATAATTTTCAGAGTAAATTAAAAGAAAAATCACAGGAAAAAAATCATTTTTCGCACCCATGAAACTTCAAAACATTAGGCCACAACAAGGGGGAAAATAGTTTACAAAAGAAATTGACTGAACACATACAGCACAGGGATGGAAAGCTGTTGTCATAAAACAGCCACAACAAAATAACTGAACTAAAACTAAAATAGTCTTTGTGGCCTATTGGCAGATAGAGTGGCAACAAAAGGAAGAGCAAGAGGCTTCGCGAGAAATAACAGGAAACGATTAAAGAGAAACATAAAACCTCGCAAAGAACAAACCTTAAATAACTACGTTGAAAAGGCGATAGTTAGAAATTGAATGGCATCACACAATACAAAGAAATTGCGTGCTGAGTGAAGCAATACTGCCACGGTTGACTACTGCTTGCTGCTTGCAAACAAGTCACCCTACAGATTTCTTTTCTTCTTTTATTTCTATTCAACCCCCATTTCTACTTTTGGAACCTACTTTCCAAGAACTATGAGGAATTGCATGGCCCGAAAAGCGAGTAAAAATAGCAAAACCACACAAACATTCTTTTTTTGAGGCTTTGGAGGAACAATATTTTTAAGTGAACAATATCGAATTAGAATGTTATAAGACCTCAGCAGTGAATTGCAATGCTTATTAGAATTTTACAGCACTAGTCCATGTATGAGAAATAGTACATCCGTTAATGTTGTGGATGTAAACCACTTTTGTATGGTTGTTTGTGTGAATAGAAAAGTTTTCTAGAGGCTGTAATAAAAGTGAGTACTATCGATGATCTATGTTTCATGATCTTTGTTGAAATTTATTATGTAACCTTACTGCGCTATTTGGTTTAATGATCGTTCTCCTGTCTGAAACTGGCTGCATTGTTTTGGAGGTTACATTGAAAATTATTTTCGTTTCTGTAATTTTATCTTTGCTTGTCTCTTTCTGGAATAAAAGATAACACTCAATTCCGAAGCCCAATTTCAACTTTCATTAATTTCAATGACTGTCACGTGGTAGTGTCTAACCCTGTTCTTTCATTTTCAGAATGGGTAAACATGAAGTTGGAACGCCTAAATATATTGCCAACAAAATTAAAGCCAAAGGCTTGCAGAAACTTAGATGGTACTGCCAGATGTGCGAAAAGCAGTGTCGAGATGAAAACGGTTTCAAGTGTCACATGACTTCAGAGTCGCACCAAAGGCAGCTTCTCCTTTTTGCAGATAATGCATCAAAATACCTCAACACGTTTTCAAAGTTAGTATTTCCTTACATTTACTTCTGATTTTCCTGTAATGTCCAGTAATCCTCACAATTTATTTCCTTAAAATGTTTTTCAGGGAATTTTGTGATGGTTACCTGGAACTTTTAAGTCGCCAATTTGGTACAAAGCGCGTTCCTGCTAACCGTGTATACCAGGACTACATAGCTCACCGGGAGCATGTGCACATGAATGCTACAGAATGGGAAACACTAACAGACTTTGTGAAGTATCTTGGTAGAGAAGGAAAATGTGTTGTAGACGAAACAGAGAAAGGGTGGTTTGTGACTTACATTGACAGGTCAGTAAACTTATTCCAACTTCAAAACGGAACAAATTTTTTTGTACAAATTCAACTAACTTGGCTTTCTTTTGTTTTGTTTTTTTTTGTTTGTGTTTAAAGAGATCCTGCAACAATTGCATTCCAAGAAGCCATGGCTAAGAAAGAGAAAATGGATCGTGATGACCAAGACAGAATGATGCAATTTCTTGAAAAACAAATTGAGAGAGGTAAAGGAGCTGGTCCCTCTCACGAACATGTTGCAACAGAATTGGTAAGGGCAAATGAATCTGAACAAATTAAACTGAATATTGCTCTAAAGAAAAAAGAAGAAGATGAGAAGCGCAAGCCCATTACCCCAGGGGAATTTAGAGTACCAACCAAGAAAGCACCATCAAGTAGTGGAAGCACTTATGGTGGTGAGAAGAAAGGAGAGAAAAGGAAGGCATCTGCTCTTGATGAACTCATCAAAGAAGAAGAAAACAGGAAAGAAACTGCCCGACGAAAACCTAACTGGCTAACAGAGGTACTACTACTGCACTCTTCTCTGGGCAAGAACTTAATTATTTTTTATTGTTTGGTATAAATTTGTATTTGTTTCATTTTTCAGAACATAGTTGTGAAAGTAGTTACAAAATCCCTTGGAGAGAAGTATTACAAACAAAAAGGTGTCATTGTTGCTGTTCAAGATAAATTTTCTGCCATTGTACGTCTTTTCGATTCAAATACTAAATTGAAGCTCGACCAAACACATTTAGAAACTGTAGTTCCTGCTAAAGGTAAGCTGATTTTTGGTTTAGTTATCCCTTTAAAGCACCTTTCATTTTGAAACCCTCTAACTTCTTGATTTATGATTTACAGGTCGGCAAGTATTAATTGTTAATGGTGCATATAGAGGGAATATTGCCACACTAGAGACTATTGATACAGATAACTTCTGTGCTTCAGTTAAAATAAGTTCAGTGAGTACAAGTTAGAATACTGCTGTTCTTCTGACTTATTTATATGTAGAACATGTATACTAATTTATTTTATTTTTAAGGGTCCTCTGAGTGGAAGAGTCATCTCAAATGTGGAGTATGAAGACTTCAGTAAATTGCACACAGAATAAAATGTGCTCTTTTCTTCATTTTAAGTGAATGCATTGTAACATAAACTTATAAATAACAACATTTCAAATTTGTCAAAGAAGATCATTTCTCTGCATTTTATTTTAATTACAAATAAATTACAAAAATATGTATTTACAGAGATATATAACATGTCAGTTCATTTATTTATCCAATCTCACTTATGGAAATCAATGAGACTAACTGCAGTTCGACTGATTTGACCCCGTCGTCGTCGCGACTTTTTTTTGGTGGTCAGTGGTTGTGGTAGCCCAGCCCCGTACCCATGTGCGGTAACAGCACACCGCAGCGCACCGAGCCCATCTTTCCGTCAGATTGCTTGCACCACTTTTGGACTTGCCGGCGAGTAATGCGAACAGAATAGTGTTCAGAAGAAGGGTCGTGGGGCCCGTCGGGCCAGCCCGGACCCCACATCGCAAATCCAGAAACCCGTGACTCGCAATACGGGTTCCTTCCCCTCTTCAGGCCGGCTTGAACGGGTCAAAGTCCCCCAGATTCACAATCTTGACACTCTCATCCCACAAGCGTTTGGCCACCTCCAGATCCTCTGCCCTGGAAGACGGCTGCTTCACTTTGCAGTCGCTGGAACACACAATGTAAATCGGAGGTGAAAACTGTGAAAAAGGGAACCAGAGTGACCCGGTAGGGCAGGGCTAGTCCGCTAGGCACACGCACCTGTAGTACAGGCCGGTCTCGTTGGCGGCCTCCTCGTCGATGCTGCAGTGGATGGTGGTCTGCGCGCCCTGCACGGGGTTCTTGAAGATGGGCCTGAACAGCATGCCGATGGCGACGCGCGCCCCCTTGAAGTACAGCCCGTCCAGGTGGCGGCCCAGCTCCGTCCTCACCACGCCGGGGTGCACGGCGTACGTGGTGACGGCGGGGCCGCCGTTGGGCCCCCGCACCCCCTCGAGCCGCCTGGCCAGCTCCTTGGAGAAGAGCACGTTGGCCAGCTTGCTCTGCTGGTACGCCTTGAACGGCTGGTAGGAGCGCGTCGAGTTGAGGTCGTCGAAGTCAATGCGACCTGCGCCACGAGAAAGAAGAACAAGTTAGACTGGAGGGAGAAGGAGGTGCCTTCGCCGCGCTGGTTCGCTGGTTCGTGGCCTACCCGAGGTGTGCGCCAGGGAGGACAAGGTGACGACGCGGGCCGGGGCGGACTGGATGAGTCGCGGCAGCAGCAGGCACGTGAAGAGGAAGTGGCCGAAGTGGTTGACGCCCAGCTGCATCTCCAGGCCGTCCTCAGTCTCCATGCGCGGGCACGCCATGATGCCGGCGTTGTTGATGAGGATGTGGATCTTGGCCTCGGTCTCCAGGATGTCCCTGGCGCACTCGCGCACCGACTGCAGGTGCGCGAGGTCCAGCCTGCGCACCACCAGCTGCCCCGCCCCCGCGGTGTCCGCGATCCCCGCGCGGATCTCGGCCGCGGCCTCCTCGGCCTTCTGCACGTCGCGGCACGCCATGACGACGCGGGCGCCTGGACAGACAGAGTTAAAGACACGTGACAAAAGGTTCCAAGCAGACGACAGCATCGGACGGGGCGGCGTACGCACCTATCTTGCAGAGGTGCATGGCGGTCACCTTGCCGATGCCCGTGTTGCAGCCCGTGATGACGGCCGTCTTGCCGTCCAGCCGCGCCGTGCTGCGGCACTTGCCCGCGAACAGCCCCATCCTGCAGCCCCGGTGTCCTGCAACACACAGCCGCGTGAAAACCTCGAGTCGGGTTTGAAGTCCAGGCTTGAGTGACTCCAGGCTCGACCCCTGGAGCCTGCCCTTGAGCCTCCGGGCGTGTCCTGCGCGGGCCGCCTACACCGTGTGCCCTGGGCACGGCGGCACGGCGCGGACAATGACAATGACAATGCGCAGCGGGGGCCGCGTCTCGCGGTGCGACGCAACCGGCCGCCGGCCCGGCCGCCCCCGCGCGAGGGACTCGGCGCCGCGAACTCGAAGCAAGCCGTGCCCGAGTCCAGCCCGGGAGAACGGCTGGGACGACAATCGGACGGCGACGGCGGTGAAGAGTGCGCGGCTTATCACTCACCGCGTGCCGCGTGCCGTGTGCCCTGCGTCAATAACAAACACCTGCCGATGCGGAAGGCCGGTCAGTCGGTTAGGTTTTGGCGGCGGCAGCGGTCTTTCCACGTTTCAGCGCCTCTGAGTCTTGGCAGCCCGGCTGGGTGGCTGGAGTGACGTAGTGCGATACCCCGGCCGTCGACACTGCGACACTTGTTCCTCGACCCGGCAATCAGCTGCCCATTGAATAAGTGGCCGGCTCTGGCCGCGGCCTGCCCGGCCAGTGACACGGAGTGACACGTCCACGTCCGCGGGACGGAGGGGAGGGAGGCCCCCGATCAGTGTGGGCATCGGAGGACCGCGTTGACGATTTCCTCCAAGTGGCGCTTATCAGGGATCAGCGGCCGCACTGCAGGTGCTCGCTCGGCTCGGGGACTCGGGGGGCGTGACAGACTGGCGCCACCCGCTAGCGCCGGTCCAGAACCTCTCTGGTCCTTCCGGGCGACGGTGACTGGTGGCCGTGCACGCTGGAAATGGGACTTGAGGTGCAACGAGGCACTACTGCTGCCAACGCCGCGCCGCCGCGTCGCGCCCTCCAGACGCGTCCAGCCGTGTCGGGTTCGGTTCGACTGCACCGAGTGGCGGGGCCGGGCCCCGCCGCCATGGGCCCCGCCGCCATGGGTACCGGGTACCGGTCGCGGGGCGCGGACGCGGAGGAGGGGGAGGGAGAAAGCGGGACTGGCGCGGCGTGCCGAGCACACTGCGGCCACGCGGCACGTCGCGTTCCAGAGTTCCAGGCTCCAGGTCGGGCTGCTGGTTTACGAGAGCGCGGCCGACTAAAGACTGGAGTATCCCGCGGCCGTCGTTGCACTCTTCGGCACCTCGGCAGTGCAGCGGCAGTGCTGCGGCAGTGCCGCGCGGCGTGACGGATGGCGCCCCGCTGTGGAGCACTGTGGAGGGAAGAACAAGTTGCGCAATGGAGTGCGGCTGGTCTGCCCGGTCTGCCCGTCGATCGCCGCGTCTAGGTCTGCTTGATAACAAAATCCCTGCATCGGCATGGGCGGGTCCTGTGATAGCAGGCATTGTTGGCAGCCATCCTCGCGCAAGCCCTGCTTCGAGTTGAGCAGAGCGACCACCTCGTCGTTCTCGATGTTTTCGCTGGTCACGTTCTTACCTGCAGTTTATGCGCGAGTCAGGTGTCTGCGAGACGCGAGGCAAACAGGCCGGCACGATCTGGCGCCCTTACAGTGGCATCGCACACGGGCCTGTGTTGGCAAAGCCTGGCAGAGCCTGGCAGACCCAGGGCAGACCCTGGCAAAGCACGCGCGCGTCCTCGCCGCGCTCACGCGCACACGCCTACGGCTCGCCCACAGCGGACAGCGCGCCCCGAGCCCCGCCGAACACTAGCTAGCACTACGCGGCGTGCAGCAGCAGCACGACACAAGACCGCCAGCACCGCCAGCCAGGACGGGCAACAGCTGACTGCCCCGGCCAGGCTTCGGCCCCACCACCGCGAGCTGCACCGGTGCCACCGAGCCAGCACTCCCAGCTGAGCGGCCCGCGGACGCGGACAGTTGCAGTCCCCCTTCTCTTGCCTTCCCTCTCCATTCCACTCCATTCAAGCAAGCGCCGCGCGTCGCCTAGATTTACCGCTGTTTTTGTCATCGGCGGCGTCCTCGATCGGAGGAACGGCCCCTCGTTCCTTCGGAAGAACCCTCTTTTTATTTTTATTTTTTTGTGGAGGGGAAGTGTTTGACCTCGCTTTATTTTGGTACGAGGCCTTGCGAATGGCGACTCTCTTGGGGGAAACGGCCGAGAAGAGAGAAGGGCAGGAGGGCCCCCCAGTTGACACCCTCCCCTACTACGCCTGCACAAGGCCTGTGCTGTGACAGGCGGCAGGCGGCGGCGGCAAGCCCCGCGACCGACAGCCGCCCTCTCTGTACACTAGTCCGACCGCTTCAAATAACCCCGCGGATACAGAACCGAGCGTCGCGCGAGGCTACGCTATGAGAAATTTCGCATTCGTGTGAAAGAAAAATTTGTTCATGAGAAATTGTTTAGTCTTTCATCAGGAGGGAGTGGTTTCACACTTTGTTTTATTTTGCGGTTAAGCGGTTGTTGCTCCTTCAGTTCATTAGTTCAAAAATCACCTCTCGAACATGCTACTTTAATTACTGGAACGTGACTGAACTAATGTATTTTTAACTATGGGAAAGAGACTGACTTCTGATAACTGTCCCTAAAATCCAACCAGGTACTTTCAGAGGTTATGTTTATATTTCGTGTACCATTTCTGTTCTGTTCTTTTATTTCAAGTCGAAATAGTTGTTCGTTCGTGCGTCCGGAAAGGTGCCCATGTGGAGGCGAATTCAGACTAGCACTAGGAGACTGTTCCTTGCCTTGGGCCAATTTTTCCGCACTGTGTTGACAGGGCCCTGTCATGATGACAGGTCTACACATATTTGTAGTCAAAGCTATACCGAATTCATATTTTGTCTGACAATTTCTTTTGACTCTATTATTTATGTCTAGGTTTTCCTCATGCAATGTTTTCCTTGTCTTGAAATTAACTGTTGTACATTTTTTAGGGGTATATTTAGGATATCTTTATGTTCAATATCTTACCAGTTTCTTTTCTTGTTTTAATCGTTTCAGCCTTACAAGAAACCTCTTAACATGGATCGTAAATCAGTGGACTTTGAAGCTGGACGTTCAAAAGATGCAAGTTCAGATTCGCTGGTCTCTGATTCTAAGTCTAGTTCCCTGAATTCAAAATTGGGACAAGAATCGGTATGTGCCTTACAAGTTCCATTTAATGTGTTTTTGTTGTTGTTGTTGTCTTTCAATGTTTTGGGGGGATCTTTTAAATGTCATTGATCCATGGTACTGGTTAAGAGCAACATTTTAAGCTCAGGCTGCATGTCATTTTCATATTTGTAATATTGTCTCTCTTGTATAACTACTCTTTAGTTTCATTTTGCATGTCAGGCATGAGGCATGTTCTGTTCAGTGTTTGTATGATTGTATGGTATTGCATGGTTGCCCACAGGCCAGTTCTGGTAAAGTCTCTTATACTTCAGCCAGCACAGCATCAATTGGAAACATGATGCCTCCAACTGATAATAAACTACGACCCAAAGTGAGTTAAGTGCTAGAAAAGGGGTGTTTCATGTTTTTTTTTTTTTGTTTTTTTAGTTTTCCTGTTGAAAGGATGTAGGATATCTTTTGGAAAAAATGTCAGAAGTGCTTATAAAAACTTGTTCCTTGACTGTTTTTTTTTCTTTGTGGTTGCAGCAGCAGCAGCCGAGTATTGTTGAGCCAGGCCAATCAACTAGTAGACCTGATGACCCTCCTCTCCTTCCTGGAGAGAAAGTTATGGGAGTAGCTAGGGAAGTTACATACCTCTGTCCATACAGTGGTCCTGCTCGAGGTGTGTTGTCCGTCACAAACTACAAATTGCACTTCCGCAGTATGGACAGGGATACACCATATGTGGTGGAAGTTCCACTTGGAGTTGTGAGTATTCACTGGTGTTCTTAAAATAATTTTAGAAGAGGTCATAAACTTATTATTACTATTATTCCAGGTAAGCAGAGTTGAGAAAGTGGGAGGTCAGTCAAGCCGAGGAGAAAATTCATATGGAATAGAACTATTTTGCAAGGACATGAGGAATTTAAGGTTTGGTCATAAACAGGTATGTAAAATTAAGTTTGCAATTCACTGTGAATTTCGTAACTTGATAAAATTACTGTACTTTGTATATCTTTTTTCTTTTGTTTTTCAGGAAAATCATTCTAGGCGAAATGTGTTTGAAAAACTACAACAATACGCTTTCCCTCTTTCACACAAACTTCCTCTATTTGCTTTTGATTATTCTGAAACATTTCCTGAGAATGGATGGAATGCACTTGAGCCTATTGCTGAATTTAAACGAATGGTGAGTTAGGCACTTGGTAGGGTGCTTCATTATAGAGTTACCAAAAAAAGCAAACTTTTATTCTTGTTCTTGTATTCTTTATTTCCAGGGTGTCCCTAATGACATGTGGAAGATCACGAAAATTAATGAACATTATGAGATTTGTGATAGTTATCCAGCTGTGTGGGCTATACCTGCTGCAGCCACGGACGATGATGTACGGGCAGTGGCCGCTTTTCGGTCACGAGCACGCATTCCCGTTCTTTCATGGATTCACCCAGAAAGTCAAGCAACTATTTGCCGGTCTGTTAAATTTTATTATTAATGGCCTTTTTTTTTTTAAAAAAAAAAAAAAAAAAAAGGTAATTTGCCTAAGTTCTTTTTTTATACAATAAATAAAACTTTTTATTTCTAAGCAGTTGCTCTCAACCACTGGTTGGTGTTGGTGGTAAAAGATGCAGAGAAGATGAGCGATACATTCAGCTTATAATGGATGCTAATGCCCAGTCTCATAAATTGTATATAATGGATGCCAGACCAAGGTACTTGCTTTACCCCCTTTTGAACACGTCAAATTATGTGTCTAGTGCAATCAATTCAGTATCTTTTTTTTTTCTTGTCTCAGTGCCAATGCTATTGCCAACAAAGCCAAGGGAGGAGGATATGAATCAGAAGATGCCTACCAAAATGCTGAACTGTTTTTCCTGGACATACACAATATTCATGTAATGCGAGAATCCCTCAGAAAACTGAAGGGTGAGTGAAGTGTCATTCTTCTTGTTTTGTTCTTCAATTTTGACCATATTTTTGTTGATTTTCCTCTTACCTGGTTCCTTTTAACTCTTTTTTCTAGAACTCTGCTTCCCAAACATTGAAGAATCTCGTTGGCTGTCTGGTATAGAGGGAACATACTGGCTTAAGCACATCAAGTATGTGCTTACTGGTGCATGCCGCATTGCCAATAGAGTAGAGACCCACAAAACATCTGTACTTGTCCATTGTTCTGATGGGTGGGACCGCACTGCACAGGTGGGTTCAGAATCACTTTTACTTCTTTTCAAATTTTTTACAATCCTGTAAAACTAATAGTCATTGATATATGTTTTTCTTAGCTCACTGCTCTTGCTATGCTGCTTCTTGATCCATACTACCGAACAATTAAAGGATTTGAAGTGCTTATAGAAAAGGAGTGGTTAAGTTTTGGTCATAAATTCCAACAGGTAACTACACCTAACTGGGCTCATCATTCGTTTCCTTATTTGCTAGCCATATTTTTAATTTTGTATCTTTGTAACTTTGCAGAGGATAGGCCATGGTGATGATCACCACTCTGATGCAGACAGATCTCCTGTCTTCTTGCAATTTATGGATTGCGTATGGCAGCTAACACAACTTTTCCCTAATGCTTTTCAATTTAATGAAACCTTTTTAATTACTATTCTTGATCATCTCTATTCTTGTCGTTTTGGCACCTTCCTCTACAACAGGTAGACTTTGATTTGTAATGATCTCAATTTTAAAAACAATTTGAAAGGTTTTTTAAAATGTGAATTACCCATTGTTTTGTGCTCAGTGATCGAGAGCGGGTACAAGAAAACGTCAAACAGCGTTCTGTGTCACTCTGGTCATACATAAATAGCAGTATTGACAACTACCGTAATCCACTGTTCCTTCCTCACCATGGTGTTTTGGAACCAGTTGCGAGTATACGTCTCATATCATTGTGGAAAGGCCTCTACTGTCGTTGGAACCCAGGAATGCGTCCCCAAGTAAGATTTTGAGAGAACTTTTGTGATGGCTGTTCCAATGCTGGCCTCAGGTTTAACATTTTTTCTAAATTTCAGGATCCTGTATATCAAAGAATACGAGAGTTATTGGTGCTCAAAGAGCAGCTTGAGAAGCAGGTGGATGAGTGTAAGCAAGAACAGAAAGCCAGAGTCTCTCGAAACATGCCAACCCCACCACGCTTGGCTTCCCCTGTCCGCAGCTAGATGATCAAAATTAATGGTAGGTTATTAAACATTCTGAAATTTTTGGACGATTGTATATTTTTATTTAATCTCATACTTCATCTTGTTGTAGGAATGGAGTGACACTTATGTGTATTATTTTTAATTCAAGACAACTTTAGCACCAAAGATAAGACCCCCTCAACTGGGTATTGTTGAAGATTTGAGAATCATATATTTTTGCAAGTTGTGAAACCTTGGAAACTAATCTTTTCTATTTTTGTGTTATGTTGATGGGCGAATAAGGAGTTATATATACATGTTTATAATCTAGAACTTGCTCTTTGTAGATTGTAAGCAATAACCTGATACGCTTGACTGCATCTCTTGTATATTTTATGTACTATAGCCCAAAAATTTTGTCTATGTAAAGCACATGCACATAAAAAAAAATAAACTGACAAACAAAAATTTTATTTCTTTTCAATTAATTTTCCAATCAACGACTGATCAGCTTACGCCTCCTCTCCCTCGCAGAAAGATGATGAGACAATCATCTGCGGAATGTGAAGATGGCAGAATATGTGAACATAAATATTTGGCTTTGGGCTGCCGTGCCAAACTTCTGCTTATCGACGCCTGTCGTCGCAAGAGTCCTTACTCGCAGCACCTTACGAGGCGCGACAACGGCGCGCATGTCGTCAGCGCTGGCTGTTGTTATTTGTGAACTTGCCATTTGATTTGAACATTTGAAAAACACTCGGATTTGTGATAGTGGGCGGGGTCACGGCCCGGCATTTCTGCCTTTCTGCCCCTCGGCTCGGCTCGGCTCCCTACTGCGGCCTGCGGGCTGGCTTGATACGGTGTGCCGTGCGGCCGGCAAGTTTGCTGCGTGGCTGCGTCCCTCCCGGTCGCGGGACGCGAAGCACGCGGAGCAAGGGGACCGAAGGGGACAGGGACGGACGGCGCGCTGCACCCGCCAGAAGGGCGTTATCAAGGGCGTCCCGGCCCGGCGGCCCCCGTCGCCCCGTCGCCCCGTCGCTTGCAGAGCCTTTCCGAACCTCGTGTTACTTTCTTTACGACTTGGAATTTAAATTGCATACGCAGCGGGGGCTGGGCGGCGGTAGGCCACCGCCAGCCTTCCCTGCTCGCTGCGCCCGCCGCCCTCCCCAGCCTCCGAGCCCCACCGCGTAGCAAGACGTGGAGCTCGCTGGGAAGGGCGCCCTTTCGCAGCCCCGCGGCGTCGTGGCTGCACCGCGTCGACCGCGTACGGCGGACGGTGAGGGCGGCGCCAGCCCGACGCAGCGCATTGCAGCGCGTGCACTCGGGCTGCTCTAGCTCACCGTCAGCAGCCTCCCTGATCGGCTCAGCATGCTCCGGACGCAAACGGCCCGGCCGGCCCGGCGATAAGGACGTCGTCGGGGAGGGGAGGGGTCATCGCCAACGTCAGGGGGCGGTCGCCACTGCGCGGAGGGAGCGCGAGGGAGCGGGACGGCGGAGTGTCAATAACTTGTCCGTGCCCTCCCACCTCCACCCCGAGCCAGACCCGGGCCCGGCGAGCTCATCGGCAGGCCGGCAGGCATTCCCTCCGCTCTACACCAGACCCGCGGCGGCCGCCACAACATCGCGACACGGAGGCGGGAGCACACACTCGCACACTCGCCGCCACGCTACGAGTCCAAGAAGAAGACCGCCCGCACCGCCGCAGCGCCAGCGAGTTCAGCAAGCGGTTCAACAAGTAAGTGCTCACGGTGGCGATCCGGGCGCGGCTGGGCCCGCCCGTCGAGCGCCGCTGTAGCGCGTGTTGCCTGGCTGCGTCTCGCAGGCGCTCCGCGCTCGCTAGGCCAGGAGGCAGGTAGGACGCGCCGCCGCAGCCTCGCCGGTCGCTAGGACACCAAGGGCCGCTGGCCGCCTGGTGGCCCGTGCAGTGGTTACGTGTCCAGGCGCACGTGAAACCGTTCCGGCAGACACCTGCCGCGTGGGGCCGTGCGGCACGGGCCGCGCTGAGATGGGAAACGCCACAGGGAGCGTGGCGGCTAGCGGCGGGCCGGGCAGCCGGCCAACCCAGACGATACTACGATACGCTGGGTGCCATCTGCCCTGCAGTCAATCGCAGCAAACGATTTAGAAGAAAACAGAAACGACGGAATGGAACCGTCCACAGCCGATCAGCGAGTGTCGTCTCAGAAACCGGGTGATTATTCGACTTGGAAACGCAAAAATGAGGCTGTCTTGCGAACGTGGCGAGCAGAAAGATGCGAGGTAGTCTCGCGGAGGGAGAGAGGGAAAGGTAAAACCCGGCATTGTTTATTTGCTGACTCCTTCTGGGCTGTCCATGTCCAGCCGGCGGTCTCCGCTATCCCGAGCATAGATTTCTATCTGCTTTTCGCTGCTATCATTGCCGCCTTGGTCGCGGGCCCCGCCCTGCCCCGCCCCCGCGCCCCGTCCGCGCCGCCGGCCGGCAGCTGCCGCCTCCAACAAGTTGTTCCGTTCCGTGTTATGAAAACAAGAAGATAATCACCCACAGTGCGCGCCCCGTCGCTTGGGACCTTCAGCGCCATTTCCTATTTTCATTTCAACCGTGACCTTTCGGAGCAGGCGTCCTCTCTAGGGCAGTAGTGGTCGCTGCTTCGAGTCGACCGACGGGATCCCGCTCCCACACCAAAAGTGCCAACTCGTCGACGGAGGATGAGATACAAACAGCCCGAACAGGATCCTTATTGCCACCTGGGGGAATGCCCGATGGGAATGATTCGCACCCCCGTATCAGACTCAACAGAGTCTCGATCCAGAAAAAACCTGTTGTGTGAAAACCTCGGCGCGCCAATGAACCGAGGCGTGTGGGAGTGGGGGCCGGTGGGGCCGGTGGGAGGAGGCAGGGGAGGGGTAGTATGTCGCCGGTTGAGACGCTGGGACGTTGAGACACCGCAGGCCGGCGTTGATAACGGGCCGATGTGAAAACATCGATTTGAAAGGAAGGGTGCCCGCCTGGCTGCCTGCCTGGCCGCACGCCCGCATGTTTGCCACTTTGCCAGCGCGACCGCTGCGGCGCTGCGGCTTTCGGCACTCGTAAACAGCGCCATGTCATGTCGCCATGGCGGCATGCCGTCATCGGGCCGCTCTTCCAGCTTCGGCCCAACTGTCCAATTAAAAAGGGGCGTCCTGGCGGCCTAGGCCCTGGCCCTGATGCGTGCGTCGGCGGCGGTAGAGCGTAGAGCGACCTCCAGCCTTAGAGGAAGGACAGCGACCGACTCCAGGGGAGGTTCACGGAAAATGTGCCCGGTGACGGTGTGGCGCGCGGGCCTACTTACTGCCCGAAGAGGCGGCCCCCCGCGGCCCTCGCGGGGCAGGGACAGGGGTATCGCTGAGGGAATGGTAGGCGCCGAGGTCGACCCCGCGGGCCGCGCAGGGGCACTACGGCCGCTATCAAGCGGACGGATAAAATTAGGACAACGTGACGCGGAAAGCAGAGGCAAGCAGTGGCGTGCTTCCCACAGGCCGCAGGGATGGGGACTAATGTTATCTCCTGTCCTGTCCGCAGAGCGCAGAGCGCCGCGCTGGCCATTCGCCGGCACTCGCCACTTCGCCCCGTCTAGGCCCTAGACCCCGAGGCCCTAGACCCCGAGGCCGCAACCAAGCCCCAACATGCTGCGACTGCTCACGAGCAAGGTGAGTCTCTCTCCCGGACTCGGCGCCCGGCGCCCGGAACAGGCTTGGGGCTCCTCGCGTGCTCACCGTCCCCCTGCCCACAGGCGCGCCACGCCGCGGCGGCGCCCCAGGTGCCGCAGATGGTGGCGCCGGCGCCGCGACGCTGGGCCAGCGACTCCACCATCGGCGCCGGCGCCAGCAGCGTGGAGCCGCCCACCCTGCCGCCGCCCCCGCCAGCCACGCTGCCCACGGACGCCGAGGTGGTGATCATCGGCGGCGGCTCTGCCGGCTGCCACACCCTGTACCAGCTCGCCAAGCGCGGCGTCAAGGCCGTGCTGCTGGAGCGGTCGCGCCTCACGTCCGGCACCACCTGGCACACCGCGGGACTCATCTGGCGGCTGCGGCCCTCCGACGTGGAGGTGCAGCTGCTTAACACCACCCGCGACCTGCTCATGTCCCTGGAGGCCGAGACCGGCATCAACCCCGGCTGGATCAACAACGGCGGCCTGTACATCGCGCACACTGAGGTGAGTGGTCCTGGCCTCGATGGTTCGGCCCCTCCGGACGGCAGCGGCACTCCCCTCACTGCTTTGTGTGACTGTACAGGAGCGCATGATGGAGTACAAGCGTCTGGCGTCGGTGGCGCACAGCTTCGGCATCGAGGCCTCGGTGCTGGACCCCAGCGGGGTGAAGGAGGTGTTCCCGCTGATCGACGAGAAGCAGGTCCTGGGCGGCCTGCACACCCCTGGCGACGGCGTCGTCGACCCCGCGGGCGTGTGCTCCGCGCTCGTCAAGGCCGCCACCGCCAACGGCGCCCAGGTCATCGAGAACTGCACCGTGACGCAGATCCTCATGAAGGAGCAGGACCTGGGCCCCAAGAAGGTGACGGGGCTCGTCACCAACATGGGCACCATCCGCACCGACTGCGTCGTCAACTGTGCCGGTGAGACGCGAACCCCCTGACCGTGAGTCTGACGGCTGCTTTGCGCGCTCGTGCAAGAAAATGATTCCAACTCTGACGCTTTCAGGAGTGTGGTCTCGCGAGGTGGCCAAGATGGCCGGCGTGTCGCTGCCCATCGTGCCCATGAAGCACGCCTACGTGGTGTCCGAGGCCATGGGCGTCCGCGGCATGCCCAACGTCCGCGACCACGACTGGTCGCTCTACTTCCGCGTGCAGGGCGACTCGCTGTGCGTGGGCGGCTACGAGAGCAACCCCGACATGCTGGACAACGTGTCCCCCGAGTTCTCGTTCGGCCTGTACGAGCTCGACTGGAACATCTTCGGCTCGCACGTAACGGTAAGTCCCTGGGAAAGGTTAGCCAGAAAAGGCCGCGAAAGGTGATTCGACAAATGACTCAAATTCCATTGCTTCGTTTGGCGGTCGCAGGGCGCGGTGAACCTCTGCCCGGCCTTCGAGACGGCGGGCATCAAGTCCACGGTGTGCGGGCCCGAGTCCTTCACCCCCGACCACAAGCCGCTGATCGGCGAGGACCCGCTGAAGCGCGGCCTGTTCCACGGCTGCGGCTTCAACTCGGCGGGCATGATGCTGGGCGGCGGCTGCGGCGAGCAGCTCGCCCTCTGGGTGCTCAACGGCCGGCCGGACCTGCACATGCAGGCCTACGACATCCGGCGCTTCGCCGACGTGCAGCGCACGGACCGCGACTGGATCAAGGAGCGCGCGCACGAGGCGTACTGCAAGAACTACAGCATCGTGTTCCCGCACGACGAGCCACTGGCGGGCCGCAACCTCATCCGCAACCCCTTCAACGAGGAGCTGCTGGCGGCCGGCGCCGTGTTCGAGGAGCGCCAGGGCTGGGAGCGGCCCGGCTGGTTCTGCGGCACCCCCGCGCCCCTGCCCAAGTACGACTGGTACGGCGCCTACGGCTCCACCCGCCACAAGGTCACTCGCTACGAGAAGCTGCTCAAGGCCGACTACACCTTCGACTTCCCCCGGCACCACGAGACGGTGAGCTTACCCGCCGCAAGGACCTGCCTGCTTACCTTACCGCCCTACCTTTACTTACCTTGACGAATGTCCTGTTGCAGATCAAGGAGGAGGCGCTGGCCTGCCGAGAGACGGCCGCGCTGTTCGAGATGTCGTACTTCGGCAAGCTCTACCTGACGGGCCCCGACGCGCAGGCTGCCGCCGACTGGGTGTTCTCGGCCAACACGAACCGGTCCCTGGGCAGCACGGTGTACACCTGCATCCTCAACAAGCTGGGCAAGGTGGAGGGAGACCTGACCGTCAGTGTGGTGGAGACTGGCCAGGGCAGCCCCTCGGACCCCATCTTCCGGGTGAGTGGTGGCGCGAGGGTGCGCGGGTTCGAGTCCCGGCGGCGCTGACGTTGGCGGTGCTGATTTACCTGTTCGCTGGTTGCAGGGCCGCGGCTTCTACGTGGTCTCGGGCGGCGCCACCTCGCAGCACACGCACGCGCACGTGCTGCAGGCGCTGCACGAGCGCGGCTTCCGCGTGGACGTGACGGACGTGACGAACCGCATCGGCGTGCTGTCCGTGCAGGGCCCCAACAGCCGCGAGCTGCTGCAGGGCCTCGTGGACGTGGACCTGGACGACGGCTCCTTCCCCATGTCCACCACGCAGATGGTCAAGATCGCCGGGCACCGCGTGCGCGCCGTCCGACTCTCGTTCGTCGGCGAGCTCGGCTGGGAGCTGCACATCCCCGTCGAGTCCTGCGAGGCCGTGTACAAGGCGGTGCGCGCCGCGGGCCAGCGCTACGACCTCCGCATGGCCGGCTACCGCGCCATGTACTCCCTGTCCGCGGAAAAGGTTGGGACTTCCCCGCCCCGCCCGTCCATCCCCGCGTTTGCTTCGTCTTCTGACCGGGTGCTTTTCTCCGCAGGGCTACCACCTGTGGCACTCCGACCTGCGAGCGGACGACAGCCCCCTGGAGGCCAACCTGGGCTTCACCTGCAGGAGCAAAGGGGACTACCAGGGCAAGCAGGCCGTGGAGGCCGCCAGGAACAGCGGGCTGCGCAAGAAGCTGGCCTTCTTCACGCTCGACGAGTACGTACAACCCGCAGGCGATCCGTTCCTGGTTAGAGAACCTATCTCAAAATCATCACGGCAGCTTCCTTCATGTCCATGCTCTTTCTCTTGCAGCAAAGTGCGCCTTAACGGTCTGGAGGCCATTGTCAGGGACGGCCAGGTCGTCGGTTACCTGCGGCGAGGAGACTACGGCTTCTCACTGGACTGCCCCATCGGTACCGGGTGAGTACCACTCATTGGAACGGTCGCTGGCGGCGGAAGACGATGGAAGTTCCTTGAATTGGCCGACTGATCTGTGCAGGTATGTGAGTCACCCCGACGGCCAGAACGTGACGGACGAGTTCCTCTCGGAAGGCAAGTACCAGCTCGAGGTGATGGGCCAGCGACACGACGCCAAGCTGCACCTGCGCAGCCCCTTCGACCCCGAGAACGACCGCATGAGGGGCCTCTACAGGCAGTAGGCTTCTTCTCCCCGTTTGTGATTCACTTTTTAGCGACTTTCTCTCAAGACTGGCCAAGACGGTGTCGCCCATCTAAAGGAACGGAATGCGGGAATAATCGCTTACGTATTATTAGATGTGTAGTTTTCATCCCTCTGTTGTCTCTTTGTATATAGACCGAAAGCATTTAATTTGTCATCGGTATGTACAGTATTTTCTTAATGAAATCAACAATCAATCAATCTGGCTGTGCTCAGGAAAATACTTTTACAGCCTTTTTTGCGGGCTTGCGTAGGGTATGAAAATGTTAAGACTGTGATTTGAAACCTGAGTAATGTTTATGTGTGTTTAAGTTAAATCGTTACTTTGCTCCGTTCTTATTTTTCTAACTACCCTCGTGTCGTATAAGGAAAAAATAGACAAGTGTATACTTTGTTTTAAAATAAATATTTAAAAAAATAATTTAATTTCATGGTTTTGAGTCAAAGATATGTTCACAGCAACAGGTAAATACATTCTTACAATCAACTAAAGTCACATTAAAATAAGTTAGATAAAAATTAAAACAAAAAAAGTTCTAGTAAGATAACACAACCACGCTTATCTCATAACTGCTTGTTGTTGAGCTCACTCCTCCGTCGAGCGAATTCTGACCGGCTCAGGGCAGAACACTCCAACACCTAAATACGAAACAACGTTCGTTACAAGAACCCGCACAGTTAAATTTTACAACATTTTTGAAGGGCGAAGATGTGTACTTACACGCTCCAGGGCACCATATTTTAGGACACCCTTCTCCCAGGCAATCACCATTGGACTAGAAAAACAAAACAATAAAAAACAATATCCTTGACTTGTGCCAAAAACTATGGTGAAAATAAATTCAGAGGGGAATAGTTCTTACATTAATCAATTTTGTGAACAAGTCCTTGCTGAAGAGCAGGCAGTCCAAAGACCCTAAATTATGGTTTCGCTCCTTTGCTGTCATGGCATCCACTCTGGTTTTTACAGTCTTCTTTAAATCTAGCCAACACTGTAAACAAAATAGAGGATTTTTGGTTTTATTTTTATGGATTGCCGGGTAGAGTAGAGGCCTGCCTAACATATCCTCAATATTTCACGGAGAACCTAGCACGGTTTGTGCATGGGTTGCCGACTTCCACGGTGCAAAGCCGTGCAAAGCTGACCACGAGTAAGATCCCAATTGAACGTTACTAGAATACTCACTGTCTTCCACTCGAACACCGTCATCCGGAGTCCAGTATTCAGATTTGTCAGGTCATTGAAGCAGACATTGTTCAATCGCCGAGCAAGCTTCACCCAATATTCTTCCCACTCCTCATTGCGTTCTGCATCCAAAGAGAAGTTTAGGCACAGGTCTGTATTGTCAAGCATGGCGCTGACAAGACAGCGCGATTGCGCTGGGTTCAGCCATTTGCTCCATTTATTCGCTGCAAAAGGAAATCTCCACTAAATATCGTAATATATAACAAAAATTTAATTCGACTCTGACCAACAATTTTTAAATCTTACCTGGAATTTCATTTTGAACAGGGTCTGCAAATAGAGACAGAGTTTAATCGAATACAAAATAACTCTTTCAGTTCTGGATTATTTTTTTTTCAGACTGTAGGACAATTTTACTCACGTCTTTCGATGTGCTCCTGTAACACGTCGCAGAAGGCGAACACTTTGTGTCCCCTGGTGTGCCGTTTCCTGTTCCTCTGTGCCGCCTTGGTTACCTCGGCCTCCCTCGCAGCCTGGTCCCGCTCGGCCTGCGCCAGGTCCTCCTCGGGCAGCAGCACGTCCAGCGGCTGATCACCCAGCGGCTGGTCGGGCTGGTCGGGGGCCGCACTCTCCATGGACGCGGTCCGGGTGACCCTCAGAGCCCTACTAGCCCCTTTGGCCAGATCTGCTGGTGGCGGGGACTCGGGCCGTTTCTTCGCCGGACTGAGGATAGGGCGCACCTCTGCCAGGCGGGGTGTGCTGCCCCAGCGCCGAGGTGCAGAATCGGCTGCAGTTTTGGGAGATCGGAGCTTGCTTATGACGACTTCTGAAATAGGAGTGAGTTGAACAACGGCCCGCGAGGTGGACTCGGCCTCGTCACCGTGGCTTTTGGAATTCCCTTGGTCTGCACTCTTCGTTATGTCCACGCTGCAAACGGCCTCCGTTGGCTCCGTCTCCTCCGCTTGCACTTTTGTTTTAGCTTCTGATACACTCTTGCGAAAATAGGACTCCAGAGTTTTTTGCACCATCCTCGGGCCTGAGTCTTCTTTCTCTGGCTTCTGTGGAGATTTGCTGCGACGCTTCGGCTCGTGGACCGATTTGGTTTCCTTTTTTGCACTTCTCAAGCCAGGTTTTATTATAGCCTTCGGTTTCAAGTCGCCCTTCGTAGGGCTAGACCTCGTAGCGTTCTGCTTTACAACAACCTCGGATTCTGATGGGGGCGTTACTGCCTCAATACTTGCACTGGAGCGCTCAGTCTTTTTGGCACTGGTTGGAGTCGAGTCCTGCCCTTGTTCCATTGAACCCGCCAACCCAGACTTTCTGGGCGAAGCAGGTTTTCTACATCGGCCTTCAACACGCGTAAACTTTAAGACGGCACTTCCCTCGTCGTCTTGTGTTGACGTCCTTCTCTTCTTCACTATCGCACAAATGTAAGAATCTGGTGTTTCCGTACTCACTAACTTGTTAGACCTAGGAACAATATGGGAGTCCAATGTTTGTGCTTCTCTGCCCCTCTTGACGCCACTTGAACAGGATGCTGTGGTGGAATTTACTTTGGATGGTGATAGTGCAGTTAGGTGTGCATTACCTACTTGAGATTCTTCCTTTTTGTATACCTTGTCCGGGATGCCTCTCTGTCTTTCTTCTGAACGCGACCTCGACTTCCTTTTGTCTTTGTTTTTCTTCTTTTTCCTCTTCTTACGATACTTCCGATCAAGTATTTTTATCAATGCATTACCTTCATTTTTTCGCGTATTTGGACTCAATTTCTTGAATAATCTATCCTCTTCCATTCCTTGACAGCTAAAATATTTCAAGTGGTCTCTTTTCTTATATGAACTAGAAGTCTTTGTAGGCGATTCAGCCAGTAGCTTTCCGAGAATCGAGGTCTTGTTGCATTTTGATGCTTGGAGAGGTTTTACCGGCGACGAAAATCTTTTCGCAGGTGAGCCGTTTTGAATGCTTTCTAGAGGCTTTCCAGGTGAATTCATGTCAACCCGAACATCAGACCGATACGAGGGGGGCTCGCTTAGTCGGTGATGCTCCTTGCGGTGGCTTTGTTTTTCAGATCGCGAAGATCTGAGTGTCGAAGAGCCATGAGGAGACCAGGCATGCAATGCTTTTTGATGGTTCTTTGTGCAATGAGATCCATAGAAATGGTCTTGATTGATGACACCGCAACTTCGTGAATTTCTATGAAGAGGCTCCTTAATGTGTTGATTATTAAATCCAGATGAGTAAGTGGTATCGCGAGGAAACCGAGGGTCATGATTCTGACTGTATTCAGCAAACTGCTCATTTCGAGCAAAATCTGATGAATAGGAACTCAAGGCGCTCTGTCTGGTGTAATTTCTGAACCGAGACTCTCCATCTAACGAAATCAAATCACTTTCACAAGACTCTTCGCCACTTAATCTTCTACTAAATCTCCGAAACTTCGTTGGGCTAGGTGATTCAAATTTAAACGGCCTTATCCCATCACTCAGGTCTGAATTGCTTGGATTCCACATGTTATGAGGTGGGTAGGGCCTCTCGAACGAACCAGGCTTTAAAGCCGGAGAGTCTTCAGTTTGCCTTTCGGCATGTCTAGGCGCACACCCACGGGGAGAAAATGACATTGTCTAATGGCCTACTTCAACCTTTCTTACGCCACCTGTAGAAAGAAAGGAAGAAAAGTATGGTCAGGAACTGCACGGAAGAGCGAAGAACAAGAACCCTATATTGTTAACGAAATTAAGAAAAATACACGGGACGGGCCAAAAAGGGCAAAAGGTGCTGAAGGCAGCTAGTCTCGCCAACCTCCCATCCCCCCCAAAAAAACACATTAAGGGCACACAATTTATGGACGGCCCCCTAAAGTATTTTACTCGCGACCACATTTGTTGCGGCCCCCTTCTGGCGTTTCCCGCGCTTTGAGTCTCCCCTCCCCTTCCTCAACCTTCCTCAAGCTCCCCGCTCCCCAAGCCAGTCGTCGCGTCGCCGCCCCGCCCCGCCTCCCCTCCCCTTGAGGCCGGCTCGGTAGCCCCGCTCACAGCCCACTAATCCAGTCGCTTCTCTTCTCCAGCCGCCCTTCCGCTGGAGTGAAATAACCTTTTCAAAAACACAAACTGACTGCCCCATTGTTCATCAAGCGAGACAAATAACACGGAAAAGTAAAGGCTGGCATCAATTTTCTTTGAACCAACTCGTAGGAATCAAAGGTATAAATCACAGCGGTACCAGAAATTATTTTAGAAGGGTAGAAAATTAATTGATGTTTATTGTCAACTCTTTCTCGTGATACTTCTTAGCACCTGCACAGACTTAGCACACCGACTAAGCAGTTTTTAGTAGTTTGTATGTACTTATTTGTCATTTTGCACAACAACTGCCGTTTTTAAGCCTTACCGGTACCCCGGAACACAAAAAAAAAGCCCTCGCGACTGGCTAAGTAAGCTCTATCAAGACGACACGGTAGACACGAATTTTGACGAATGTAGGCAAAGTGAACTTACGGTGACATTCGGGTCAAGCAGCCGACGAATGTGAAAACGCACCCAGCAGATAACACAGATGTCACGAGCTGCGCCAATGAATGACACTCGCACCGTCACACCGTCACGCCGAGCGTAAGGCCGAGACAACACACGAAGACGGCTCTTCAGGAGGCGCCAAGCGGCCAAGATCCAACACCAAACACACACATACGTGATGCCCGGCCCGCCGGCTCCGCATGAAAACCGAAAAAGGTGGGCAGGGCAACGGACGCGCAACCAGGTCTGCCTCGGGGGGCTTGCCTTAGTCAACTGATCATGAAATGAAAACTTAGCAGCTTGGAGGAGGGAGGAGGGGCGAGGCGGGGCTGGCGGCAGGCAGGCAGGAGCGGCAGGCGAGGAGAGGAGGGGGCAGATGCAACCAAAGCGAGTCGGCGGGTTCTATTGTCTGTCTCTGTTCCTCTCGCGTTGTACAATGGGTGCGACGGAGAGCGATGAACTCTCGTGTTTCGCCCGGCCCCGGCCGCTGCCTTTCGGAGGGGAAATGGAAGGGGGTGGGGGAAGCAGGCTGAGGGCGGGCGAGGGAGGAAGGGCGGTTGGTTGGTGAGTTTCATACCGTGTCCAACGCAGTCCCTAACGCATCTACCCTCCCGTATAAATTACCTACCCGTGTTCGATCTGCTCCGCTGATCAACACGTTTCGAAACCAGAAGGTACCCTTGGTCCGCCTTATGGTGTCTTCAAATCGAACCCGCGTCACTGTCGGAGATGTTCGGGCTGTTCGGGTCGCTCCGGCGGGCATTCGGCTCTCCGAAAGCTGCCAGGATTCGCGACGAAAGCAGTGCCCGCCCCGCCGATCGGACATCGGACAGTGAGTTGCCACCCCTATGACTAACTGCATTCCAGTGAAAACAAATACCGCTCTGTGTAGTCTGCTAGCTGTCACTTGCCTGTCAAAGCTGAGTTCGAAAATGATTGACTTTGACGTAGGAGTGATCCTTCCAGCGGCTGGTTCGGGTGAACGATTGGGAGGATCGACGCCAAAGCAATACTGCAAAATACTTGTAAGTTGAAGTTTCATGTATTAAATGCCTTTTCCAATAACCATTATGACAGTCACAGCTGTACAAAAAGGAAATTTTTCTGTCATTCTTGGACATTACTTATTGAATCATTGGTATTTTCTGCCAGCCTATGCTATTAGAATAAAAATGTTTTCTTTGATTTCAATTTTTTTTACCCAGGACAAACCACTTTTTCTTTATGCTCTTGAAGCATTTGAGAAAATTTCTTATATACGCCGCATAGCATTGGTGGTTGATGATCCAGGACATGTGGAGGCACTTCTACAAGAGTCGAACTGTCATAAAGTTTTGGTCGTGCAAGGTGAAAGCACACGCCATCGTTCCATTCGAGCAGGCCTTCAGGCACTAACAAAACAAGGTTTGTCTTTTCTCCTCTTCTTTTCAGATCACTAGCATTTCTTGCTCTCTTTTAAAAAAAAACTTTTGCAAATTTTATAGAGTGCGATCTTCGCATTGTGATAGTCCATGATGCTGTTCGACCAATTGTACCAGAAGATTTGATTGAGCTGCTGGTTAAAGCTGCCGATGAGACTGGAGCAGCAGGGTCTGTTTGCCCCCTCGTTTCAACTGTTTTAAGTGCTGAAAGTGATGGCTCACTCAAAACAGCTCTTGATAGAAAATCTCATCTTGCAAGTGAAACACCCCAAGCTTTCCAGACAAATGTATTGGTTTCATCCTACAATAAGGTAGACACATACTTCTATCATTTCTTCCCTCCTTTCATATTAAAAATTTATAACTAATTTTTATGTTTATACTCTGCTGAACCAGTGCTCAGAAGAGGATTTAGATTGCGGGACTGAATGTTTGCAACTTGCTCTGACCTATGGTGGGATTCATGCACGTCTAGTTGAAGGTTCTCCTAATGACCTATGGAAGGTAACCATCAGCCGTGATTTGTACACTGCATCGCAATGTTTAAGAGGTCAGTAAGATCATAAAATTTTGACTTAAGTTCTTATTAATAACATCACTTTATCTAACTGTTGTTTTTACTTCTAGAGCGCAACAATTCAGTATGCATCATGGGTACTGTTGACTGTGAACCAGCAAGATTGCTGGCTCAGAGTTTGATGTCATGTGTCAAGACAGTGGAACGTGTTGTGATGAGCAACGAGGAAGACGTACAACGTTCATCAGGACTTCGATTCAACAATGTTGTTTTCTTCCATACAAATCAGATTGATATGGAAAGATCATTGTTGAACTTTGCTGCTCTATTTGATCTCGACAATCAGGTACATATCATGGATTAATAATTGGTATTTCTGTGAAAACTATACCAAAAACTCACTTTTAAATTATTTTCAGGGCTTGATTATTCATATCCTGGAGCAAGAGAATGCTGAGGAATTACAAAATATGAATGTATACGATTTACAATCATCTGGACGGAAAATGGCTCGTCAGTATCACAAGCTGAAGAAGGGCGTAGTAGTGATTCATTGCCTTGATAATGAGGCTGACTCTGGCAATTTAGTACGCCTTGTGACGACACTTATACAAACTCATCCATACTCAATGACAGGACAAACTTTATTTTTGTAGATTTGGGATGTGGCAAAAATCAACTGTTCATTGAATTAAAAAGAAAGCCCCTCTTGCTTTGATTTAAATATTCACTCACAATAATGCAATAACTCATTGAGATGTTTTTAAAGAAATCTTCAGCTTAAAGCTCATGAAACAAAAAAAAATGTTTGTGCAAAGTGTGCCAGGTTTCTTTCAATATTTGTGCCACATTAGAATATTTTCCAGCTAGCAATGTGTTCTAAATCACTCAAAACTTATTGTACATTTTTGTTTTGTTTGTTCCCTACCAAGTAGTCAAAGAAGTGCCTTCTGCTAAAGCTGGATACAAAACTGAGAATCTATCTTGTTAGTTTTTTCTTTTCAGTTAATGCCTCAGTTAACCAAGATCAATTAAATATTGATATTTTTTCATTAATTGTAAGTAGTATACATGTGTTGTAGGGTTTGGTGTGATAATTAGTTAGTTTTGAAATATTTGAACCCTCATAAGATAAGTCCAGTGTTAAAGAGGTTCTTTGTGGTCTTCACCTTTCACAAACTTCTTGAAAAAGGAAACAAAGAGGGAGAAATTGCATGAATTCAAATCCTATTTTTCAATTCTAGCTTACCAATGGCTGATATTTTTTGGCAGCAATTGGCTTTGAAAAATTTAATGTGTTTCTTGCCATGTAAGGTTTGATTGTGTTACAACTTGTATGAATTCCCACTTTCTTGTGATATTAGTATAGACAGTGTGATGCATGTAGTTTTAAGTAGTGTTAGAACTGTCGTGCCTCAAATTTATTTATCTCAAATGTGCATTATGCTTTGATTTTTATAAAATGACAATTCACTTCCTGAAACGCGTATGTTTTTATAAATGTGTGTTGTGCATCTTTGGCTCTGAAGATACATGCTTGCTACATCAATTTGTATTCAATAATTGGAATTCTGTGTTATTAGTTTGTAAAATTAGTTTTGAAGTGAACAAGTGACCAAAACCAAAGCAAAATGGCGTGGCTTTAGTAGTAACTAAAATTAGCTGTGTTACGTAGCAATTTAGAAAAAAAAAACATTGCTGTCATAATTAGAAATAGCACTTAGGTCTTGAATAGAACCCATCTATTATGTCATAGTTCTAAAGAGCATGAATAGCATTCACCAAAGTTGTAGATCATTGGAAAAAATTAAATTGTTGTACAAGCAATTATCTTAATTATTTCAAGTTCATAAATTTTTTTATTCCTTTAATTTCTCTACCACAATGATAACAATAAAATTTGATGTATTTACATACAACACAAATCTGGACAGAAACAGACTAACAACGGATGATGAAAACATCCTCTTGGTTGCACCATAAAAAAAAAGTTCATCACTTCAGAATTTCCAGAAGAAAAAAAAAGCCAAACTAGTAACTTAATAATTATGGGACCTCATGGCACTCACTACACACAGAAGATAACAGTTATATGATAAACTTTATGTATTAACGTTATATCATGAATTCATGTGTTGACAGCAAATCTGCACTTAAAATTAAAATTTCCGATGATACTATGAAACACTTTTGAAAATAGAAATGCAACTACGAAGGGATATATAATACACATGTAAAAGCAAAACTCACATTGAAGAATTCTTTCTCTGATCAAATGGAATGTTGGCAGTGTGTGTGCGGTCTTCAAACCTCATCTGGGTTGAACATACCCTGTAGAGAAAATGTAAAAGTGTAGTGGCTGACAGTAATAACGACCAAGTTTTGAACCTAACAAACAGCTCAAGAACATACCTTGGCCCTGCGCAAGATGGAGTCCTTGCTTGCATCATAGGGATGATCCTTGGAAGGAATCTCAAGAACAGCAGGCACGGGCTGAGTGTGGCTGTCAATGCAGTGCCTTACCATCTCAGCAACCTGCAAGAGCAAAAAGTAATAAAATTTGTCGCATAACAAACAGATTGAAATTGATCAGTAATACTTAAACTGGTATGTTAAACTCACATTTTGGTTAATGAGAATGATGTCAATATCATCCCTCTTGACAAAACGTTTGAAGCACTCCTCAATTTCACTTACGCTGGTATCTGTAAGAAAACAAAAGTTGAAATAAAACAAAAACCCAAATACACTATAAATATGAAAATGGATCTGCTCTACACTCACTTCTGTCCACAACCAAGAAATTAGGCTGACGGTTCTTGTTGATTTCACCAACCCCTCCTAAGAGGAACCCAACACACGTATCCTGCAGACAGAAAGTTATATGTAAGTGACATTCAACTAAAACAGTGGCATTAAGAATTGCTGGGCTGCTAAAACCTTAAAAAGAATTTCACAGAAAACACACTAAGGAGGCAGGAAACAACAGCAATATGGGAATTGTTTACAACAAAAAAGACCTTCCCCCAACAGAAAGAAAATGTCTCATGCATAGTGTGCATGAGGCCCCACCAATCACAACCAGTGCAAAGGACAGTACTTAGACGCAGCGATAAGGACATAGCTGTATATTGTTACGAAAAGAATTCCCGGCCTTCACTCCTGCTGAGGAAAACTCAGAATGTTAAGAAGGCCAAGTCGAAGGAACATAACCCCAACTCCAGTGGCAAGGCACAAATCGCGTTTATTTTACGAGTTATCTATACTGACCTCATCACCGATGACGGCTAAAAGCTTTCCTTTGGCTGCTGAATGTAAATGTGCCATTGTAACGACAAATGTGAAAAGAAGTGCTCAGTTAAAGAGAAAAATTAAGTCAGCTTTTGAGCATCAGCTGACAAATACTTGTCAGGTGACTGCCCATGCCAATACCAACCAACCCACAACGTCCCACGTTCTCTCTTACTCTCACTTTGTCAGATAAATCGGATTTGAATGATTTAAAGAATTATGATTTAAATGAAATAAAAAAACTTTGTGTATAAAACAATTGTTGACTGCTCCTGCATTGCTGTCTCAAACTAAAACTACCGGAAACTTTTTTTAAGTGGATCCAGTGGTGAGACTGCTCCAGCAGAAAACTTTCGATATCAGCGCCATCTTTCGGACAGCGGCGGAATATTGTCTTGATGGGCAGCTGTTTTCGACAGTCGGACAAAACGAGTGTTTTTGCATTCATGCCGTGCTCCGCAAGGACTTTATCGTGTTGCATACCCTTTTGATTTACCCCTGCCAAGTGCGTTGAATGGTGAATTCAACGTCAATGGTTTGGCCATTAACACCGGGCCATCGTAACCATCGTTGGATGGCCTTGTCACCCTCATAAATGGGGTTTGGCACACCCCTTGCCGATTGTTGTGAATGGTGAAGGAGGCATTTGACAGGGCGAGGGTTAGAAACTAATGCGATTCGGAGTCTCGTCTCCTGCAAAGTCGCGGTAAAATGGTTTTCGAATCAATCGTAGCGGATCTTCTCAACAAGTATCTGGGAGAATATGTCGAGAACTTGGACCGGTCCCAACTGCAGATTGGCATATGGGGAGGTAAGCACCTGTTTACTATCAGTACTTAGCTGTCTTTCAATAGTTTTCAGTTAGTTTTGCGGTTGTTTGTTGATACATTTCTTATCTTTATAACGATCATGTCAGAGTGTGTCTTACGGTTTTATGATTTTACAAATCCTGTTTATTACATTCTGTATTTTTCACTTGGATGTAACGATATTGTTTATACAGATAATGAGCCTTTTCTTATTTCTCTTTGTCATTTTCTTAGGTGACATCGTACTTCAGAACCTCGTTCTGAAGCAAAGTGCCCTAGATGAGCTAGATCTTCCAGTGCGCACAGTTTATGGTGTTCTTGGTAAGTAGATGTAATGCCTGCTTTTGTGTGGTGTCAGCTCAAAGAAGGTCGTAAAGCATTGGGAAAATTTAGCTGTGCTCGGTGTGTTGATATCGATCAAACTCTTATAGATTATGAGCTCGTTAGTCTAATGTGTTTCTGCTATCACACCAAGGAAAGTACAGGCGCTTTTAGAATGATTTTCGAAGGCACTCAACCAATTTGGAAGGAAGCTGTGCGGGACTCCCACTCCTTCCCTTGTTTTGCATGTTTTTATTTGGTGTGGCACCGTTTGCCCACCACTTGCCCACCGCTGTCCATCCACTGCGTCCTTGACGCGTAGCGGTGTCGTCGGTCGGTCGGCCGGCGCCCGGCCAGGCGTGATGTCATCCCCGTGCTGGGTGTGGGGCCCACACTGTGGGCCACGCGGGGCTACGCAAGCTACGCCACTGGCTCGGACGCCACTGCCCGCTCCCGCTGCGGCTTGCGGCTGGCTACCCGCGTGGCCGGGCCGTGGCAGGGCGTCGCGCCAAGCGGCCGTCGGGCGTGCGGCGTTGGCGCGGAGCGCGGAAGGGGTTTGGTGGGTAGTTTAAAGGGTGGTGTCGGTGGAGAACGCGGAAGAGATGAGCCGCTAGGATGCGCCTGCGGGATGGCACTGGGTGCACTCCACGCAACAGTGGTGCCGCGCAGGCCTCGCGGGGCTCGCGGGGCTGGGTCCGAAGGGGGCGGGGCGGGGCCGTGGTACCTGTCACATTAACACCTGATGGTGCGGGCTAGGGCTAATTTAGGTGCGAGGATCGGTCCTCCTTGCACCTGGGGCGTGGTCGAGGAGTTGAGGTGGCGAGGCGGGACTCTCCCTCGTGCATCTAGTTGCCCCTAGTTGTCTCCAGCTGGGCTGGGGCCTTCCCTGGCCCAATCGAATCACCACACGACACCGGTCGACCAATAGGCCTGTCGCGTCGCTTCATAAGTTCATGGCCCCCAATTCTAGTCGCAAGTGCCAGTCGGCCTGAAAAGATATGAACGCGGGGATGGGGAAAAATGATTGGAAAGTACGACGTAGCAGCCCTTATCGCGAGGTGGGTGCGGCTTCCCTGTCCGTGCGAGAGATTGCATGCAAGCAGTGTGAGGTCCTGCTGGTGTCGCGTTGTGTGGCATGCCATGCACTTTGCGGTTTTCGCCAGGAAGCGGAGCTTAAAGGATTTCCCCCCCGCCCCGGGCCCCTTTCCCCTGGGGCAGCTGTTTCTCCATATAGCCGTCTACTTTACCCTCCCCCTCCTCTTCCACACTCACACTCTCACTCACTCTCACCTTTTCTTTTTCTCTCTTTTCCATTCCCATGACACGCACAACAAAGCACACAGAAAAATGAATCCCCTCTCATTTTACTTTTACAGAGAAGTTGGTTCTGAAAATACCATGGAAGAATTTGTATCGGGACCCTGTGGAGGCTACTGTGGAACGATTGTACTTGCTGGCTGTTCCAAACCAAGAGGTAAAGTACGACCCTGTCAAAGAGGAACGCTGGGCTCAGGATGCAAAGCAGAACCAACTCAACAAAGTGGAAGCAGCAAAGAAGTGGGAGGCCGAAAAAGGTAGAATGAGTCTCGTCAGGCTGTAATTGTTTTATTCAAATTTATTTTCCATAGCTATGTCTAAAATATTCTTTGATTTCAGACTTACTCAAACAAGATGATTCATTTGTGGAAAAACTGTCTACTCAAATTGTTAAAAATGTTCAAGTGAAGATAGGAGAAATTCACATTCGATATGAAGACAGAGTTTCAAGCTTAGGAAGACCATTTGCTCTTGGTGTCACTTTGCACAATTTGTCTGTGCAAACGACTGATGCCAATTGGACCAAGGCAATCAAAGATGAAGCTAGCAAATTCATATTCAAAGAACTTAATTTGGAAGGATTAGCTGTGTACTGGAACTGTGATACAATTTTATACTCTGATAAGCCAGTAACAGAGATGTTGCAGTTGTTTAAAGATGGAATTGCTGCTAAAGAAAGGAAACCTAAAGGCTATGAATACTGTTAGTACCTCATTCATGCAGAACTTGTCCCCAGAAACTGAATGTTAATTATGTTTCTATTCTATTATCTTTTGTTATTTTTATTTTGCAGTGCTTGGACCCATTAACTCATCAGCCAAGCTTCAAATTAACCAAAAACCAGAACAGGATGGCTCTAATTATACCATCCCAAAGCTGCAGCTTAGTCTTGAATTGGAGAAATTGGCCATATGTAAGCAATTTTTGTCTCTTAATTTATTTTTTCACCAAAATTTATTTAAACATTTACCTTGCAATATGGTTTTCAGGTATCAGTAAAAGCCAGTACCGTGATGTCATGCTGTTGCTGGAGTCGATGGACTGGATGACAAGAGCTGCTCCTTACCGAAAGTACCGACCTTTTGTGCCCAGCTATGCAGGACACTATAAAGAATGGTGAGATTGATTGATCACTTCAGAAAAATTGTTTTCTCCTTAACACATTTGTCTTAATCATCAACAATATTTATCTTATCTAGGTGGCACTTTGCATTCAAGTGCATATTGGAAGATGAAGTGAAAAGAAAACAGCGAAACTGGAACTGGAACTTCATGCGAGAGCATCGCAGCCTGTGCAAATCCTATGCTTCAGCCTACAAGCAGAAGCTGACAATGAAGAAAGTTCCTGCTGAATTAACAATTCAGCTGCAGGAAATGGAAAACAAGTTGGATGTATTTAACATTGTTCTCATCAGACAGCGAATTGAAGTTGAGGTGGAAAGGGACCAGGCTGAGGAGGCCAGACAGAAGCAGCAGCGCAAGGGCTGGTTCAGTTCATGGTGGGGCGGTGCAGCTGAAGCTGAGGCAGTTCAACCTGGTTCAGCCGCAGAACTTGGTGAGACTTTCATTCATCTAAACTTTTTACTACTCTGAAGTTGGACTATTTTAATTTCCATAATGTTCTCCTTCCTCTTCAGCCAAAAAAATTGAAGCTGTGATGACCCCTGATGAAAAGGCCAAACTGTATCGTGCCATTGACTATCAAGAAAATACTACACCTGCAATTTATCCCCCTCACTTTGTTGAAAATGTCTTTTCCTTTAAACTGCGTTCACTTGAGATCGAGGTGCGTGATGGTGAGGACAAAGTACGTACCATACTCTCCTCTAGTCTTCAAGAAGTCACTGCACAAGTTGAGCAACGTATGAGTGGGCAAGCATTGAAGTTAGTATCACAATGTTAGTCTATCTGAACAATTTAATCATTCCAGTGTGCTTAATCTCTCTTATTCATTCCTCTCTCAGAGCAATTGTCAAAATATCAAAGTTTGACATGTTAGGCCTGACTCAAGGCACTCTTACACCTCAGCTTGTTTCTTCAAAGTTGCATGAGTCTGATTCAGTTCTTTTGGATGTGATGTTTGAAACTAAACCATTGGATGAGTCTTGTGATCAAAGGCTCAGAGTTAATGCAAGACCTCTCCGGGTGATTTATGATGCTGCAACAGTCAACAGTTTAATGGATTTGTTTAAGCCTCCAGAAACTCCTGCTCTTCAGAACAAGTAAGGACTTCTGCACAGTGGTCTAAGATAGAATGCCAGCTGACCTTGCCTCTTCCTGTCCATTCCTGATAAACCTGGTATATTCCACCAGGGTGTCAGATTTATTGATGATCTTCCCTTATGTCTTGGACCCCCTTTATCCCTCACCATCAGTTTCTCCTGCTCTCTCCACTCCTGTCCGACTCAGTGACAGCTTTGTGTACATGTCTCACTTAAACTTGTGCCTACCTCCTAATTAATCATGGTTTGTTGGAAAATTCTAATTATGCATTTCTTCCCCAGGATTCAGGCTGCAATCCCTGTAGCAATGCCAGCTTTAAAAGAGATGTCAGTTTTGGGTTTGCAGTACGCTGTTGAGCAACACACTGTTCTTGATGTGGTTATGGATATTATGCCCTCACAAATTTTGATTCCTCAAAATGGCATTTATCTGGGGTTCGTTCTATACATATTTGTGTTTCTTTACTACTTTCCTCTTCATATTCGAGTCATTATTTGATAAGAATGCTCTGTTTCCAGGAATGAGAACTTGCTCGTCATTAACTTGGGTCGAATGTCAGTAAGCACTGCCTCAAGGGATACGTTAGCTATGGATGTCAGGAAGATGCACCTTCATGGCAGATCAGAAGATGATATTTTGCAGGAAATGATTTCAAGATCATACACTAAATTTACTTTCATGCTAGAAGACGTCCAGGTTTGATTTAGATGTAGAATTAAATTTAATTTCCTTTGATCGTTTGTCTCTCTTACAAATGGGATGAAATGTTGCAGGTGTTACTTGCCTATGCTGGGGAGAACTGGAAGAGTATTATCCAAGAGCGCAAACGATCTGCTATGCATGTTGTCATGCCTATCACCCTCACTGTAAATTTGCATAAATGTATGGTGACTGATGATCCAAGGTTACCGAAAATGAAATTGTGTGCGGAACTTGGACAGATTGATATTCAACTTCCCGGTAAGAATCATCTTCCTCATGAGCAATTTTATACATTGATTAGACCTTGTTTCTGATTTTATCCTATTTTGTTCCAGAGGACAGAATGTTATGTTTAATAAATTTACCAAACTCAATACCATTCAACGATGCCGAGCCCAGCCCACTAGGAGCTACTGTAAGCTGAATATTACTTCTTCACTTGTTACTAGGTTTGGAATTTTAAAAAATAAATTGTTTGTTCCAGGATAATGCTTCCCACAGTTCACAATTGTCTTTGTTCCGTGCCATGGATGTGGATACTGCTCGTGCTAAGGGTTTACAGCTACCAAAATTAGAGAAACCTATTGAATCTCAACCAATTATGCAAGTAATTGAGCTTGAGGCCAAATTTGTGTTGGATAGTAGGTTCTTTATATTTTAAAACAAAGTTAATTCATTTTTTATTTTGTATCTTTACATCCATGGACTTGTTTTCCTTTTGTTTGCAGTGCTCAAAGTGACAGTTTATGAGCAGAAGAAGGGCTCCTCAAAGGACAAAGCCAGAGACGATTTGGATAACTTTGATCCCCTGATTACATTCCGTTTGCTTTCCTTAGAAACTGAATGTGTTCAGCGTACATTTGATACCAATCTGTACCTTTCAATTGGCGGAATTGATCTGAAGCAACGCTATGATGGTGCTGACATTGATGCCATCGGTACTCCAATGACTTCAGGCCAGGATCAGTACTTGTTCACAGTACGTTTTACTCAGGTATGTGCTCTGCAAGACTCCAGGAGTATGCTACAAAACATGTACTTGTGCCTACTCAATCAGACATAATTGTATTGTTAACGATTTCTCTTATTCAGGTTGATAAGAAGTCTCCTGAACTCCGAACAACACATCAATCTGTGCTAAAACTGCTACAAGCCAATTTTTCAAAGCTTAATGTCCTCATTCACCAAGAAGCGACTTTACAACTCATAGCATTTGCCAACCATGTACAGGTATGTCATCTTCTACTCAGGCTTCACTTTTTTATGATTATCTGGTTTAATGCAAATCCTTCCCTCTTATTTTCACACACACACAGAGCTCATTGGATTCTGCAGTCTCCCCTCAAGGCTCTCGCACTGCAACAGCTGGGCGCAAAGAAAAAAATCTTCCTACCATTATGGAAGAGGAAGGTGGTGCTCCAACAAAATCTAAGCCAGGTACTGTTTGTTTTTCTTTCTTTGAAGGAGTACTTCATTGTCTTGTATCTTTTTTAATGAAACAAATTTTAATGCAGTGGCTAAACGCAAGAAAAAACGTCAAGTCTCGTCAACTATCGATTTAAAAATAGTTGCTGAAATGCAAAGTGTCTGCATTCAAATTGAAACTAAAGCAAGACCATTAACTTCCATGATGGTTCAAGGCTTAGTGTTTGGGGCAGAAATGCGGAAAACTCAAACTGAAATTTCAACAAGCATCAAAGACTTTGTTATGCTGGATCTCAACCCAGCCACATTACATAAAAAGGTAAGAACAGTACTTCCTATTCTGTGGATGTTATTTTGTTAGTAAGCGTCTCAACTTATTTTTCATCTTGCATCATTTACCTTGTAGATTCTGTCTATCGTTGATGAAGAAGCTCTGTCAGCTCATGTTGTTATGTATGATACTTCTAAAGCAGATGACATTGATGCTATAGATATGACAGTGAAGGTTCAAATGGCCTGTCTGCACGTGGTTTTCCTCAATTGGTTTGTGTCCTCCTTGTTGGTAAGTAACTTTATCCCTACTTCCTCTTTATTTTCAGTTTTAGTTTGCTCTTTTTAAATTTTTGTGGGTGTTTTTTCTTGAAGGAGTTTTCTGCCTATTAATGCATCTGTTGTCAGCTTGTCTTATTATTATTATTATTATTATTTTTTCACAGTCATTTCTGAATAACTTTCAAGCTGCTCAAGCAGCTGTTTACGAAGCATCAGCTGCTGCGGCAGCTGTTGCTAAACAAAATGCCAAGGAAGCTTACACAAAGGCCACAAGAATGTCTTTAGATATTGAATTGAAGGCAAGTAGAGCGGTACTTAATCTTTGTTGCTCCTTTTTTCTCATGACTTTATTTAACTCCTTTCTTTGTTTTCCCCTTGTATAGGCTCCTATAGTAGTTGTTCCTGTGAATTCTCAAAGTTTTGATGCCTTACTGATGGACTTTGGTCGTCTCACCATCAAGAACTCTTTCCAAAATGTTGAAGTACAGAAACAATATCCTGCTGTGCTTGATAAAATACAGCTGGGACTAGTAAACGTCAAAATGTCCAGGTAATTCTTAAAGAAATGCTTCATTTTATGAAATAGTTTTTTGTTTTTTTTAATTCAGAAGATTATCTGCAAATAATGTTTGTCTACTTGTAGAGTCCGCCTTCACAAAGAGAATCACGAGGTCCTGAATGAGCGAATGCTGCTCCAGCCTATCAGTTTTACTCTTTCAGTAACACGCAATCTTTCCTCTTCATGGTATAATGAATCACCTGATCTTGATTTGTCAGGAAAGATAAATTCTATAAACGTAAGTGCAACACTTTTTTTGTGCTATGTATAATTTGTCCTATTTAATCGATTTTCCTCAATATGTCAATGCAGCTGTCAATGACCCAAGCTGACTATCGAATGCTTATGCAAGCTCTTTCTGAAAATATGAGTGAGGGTTCGTCTGAGTTGCCTGGACAATCAGCTCCAGATCCAGTGGAGACCAAAGTTTTACTCCCCACTTCCAAAACCTCCTTTAGTACTTTACCTGGAACTCAACTTTTACCAGTGAAGGACCAAAGTTCAGAATCTGCCAAGAAGGTTCATGTATTCATGGTCTTTAGATTCACTATGGACAGCTTGATTATAAACTTGTATTCCGGTGGTTCAAACAATGTGAGTTCAGAAAAATTGCAAATACCAATATGTCGTTTTCTTTTTAAATTAATTTTACATAAATTTTTATCTCTTTTTTTTCTTTTATGTTCCTGAGCAGCTGGAAAAAGTACCTGTGGAGAGACCTGAACAGGGTCTAGCTTGCTTTACTCTGTATGTGCTTGCATTGAAAGGTCAAATGTTGTCAGACAACTCTTTGAGCACATCAGTACGCCTAGTAGATTGCCTACTGGACGATACACGGGTCGGACGAGAGGGTAAAATAACAAGGTTAATGGAAAGCAAGGCTCTCCTTCCATCGGACATGTCTCAGACAGTACTCTCGCCCACATCTGAGGCTGCTAAGAGAACCATGTTGGATGTAACAGTTCGTATGAAACCAAATGACATGTTTGGTAAGAAAGAACTTCTTGTACTGTTAAAAATTTGTTACCCTTATAATTTGTGAGTAATTTTAACCTTTTTTAAATTATTTATTTTCAGTTGATGTCCGCATTTTTAGTTTCAATCTCATAGTCAGCATTGACTATCTCCTGAAAATTAGCAACTTTTTTGTGGGAGCAGATGCTAAGCCAAAGTCAGTAGCTCAAGTTCCTTCTAAAAGTACGGGCAATCAGTAACATCAAGTGCTCCCTCTCGCACAGCTTTAGCTGTTCCATCATCTGAAAGTGCAAGAGACTTGGAGAAACATTCCCAAACAGTGATGACTATAAATCTTAAACTGGAGAAACCAGACATTTTACTAGTTGAAGCCATGGATGATTTGGATACAAATGCCTTGGTTTTGAATGTAAGATATTTAGTTCATTTAGGGTTTTAATTAGATTCTAAAAATATTTCTGTCTAATTTAATTCATATTTTTTTTCTAGTGTGAGCTGGCATTTAATCTCCGTCAAGAAGGGGAGGAGATGAAGATTAAGGGAGCTCTTGAAGAGTTACAGATTTTTACATGTTGTTTCAACAAGCGTGCTGATACTAAATCACCAGTTCTGCAGCCTGTAAGAATTGATGTGGATGGTTCAACCAAACCGGGACAAGGTCTTCACATGGAAGTCATTTCCTCTGACATCCGTATAGCAGTCACTCCAGGCACTTTAGAACTGCTCAACCGTTGCCAAGCAACACTCACAGCCAAACATGGTCCAGATGAAGATGAATCCATGGCAGAATCTGATTATTCTAATATCTGGGAGACAAAGTCCTTTGAAGACAGCCAATTTTGGTTCCTGAAAACAGAAATGGCTCAAGATGCCATGGCCGCGTTGACTGATGCTTCTCAGCCAGAACCTTTAGAAGCATCACCAGTGACACCTCTTTCAGAGTTGGTAATTGTCACCATGCCATCCATAGTAGTAACTGTTGAAGCCGGTGTTGGCAACAAAACCATGCCTATGATTTTGCTTGAGACAAGCTTCCAAGGCTTTATTCGAGACTTCAGTTCACTCCTCCACATTGAGAGCAGCCTCAACGTTCAAATGTGGTATGTATGAGAGAGGTTTTTTTTAGCGTACTTTGTAGCATTTCATTTACAAAATTGTTTCTTCATTTTTGTTACTGAAGGTATTACAACAGCAGATTGGCTTTATGGGAACCTTTGATTGAACCAGTGGAGAGTCATCATGGAGGTCAGGTTGTTCATGTCCCATGGGAGCTCAAGATGGAAGTTGAATTTAATGATTTGAATGCTCCAGCTGGATCATTTGAAGACTCCACTTTGAGTACTGAAACAGAAATTGAAGCTCTCCAAATGCAACCGTTAATGAATGTGTCCATCTCTTCAAAGGAGAATTTGGAAATAACAGTCACTAAAACGAGCTTGGATGTAATCAGCACTTTGGGAGAGGGTTTCAAGACAGCAATGAAAGATGGGCTACCTAAAATCGGCTCTCTAAGTGCCGCTCCTTACAAAGTTCTTAATTTTACTGGTTTACCGGTGGAGCTCAACTTGGGATCAAGCAGTTTGAAGGTAATTATATGCTTTTGTTACTTTATCATTGTTTTCAACTTCTTCTCTAAGTTTCACTGGGTCCCTCCACCCATTCAAGCGCATCTATCCATCCACACACATTCCCGGTCCGCCTGAATCCCTTGACAGTCCTGTGCTTTATTGTGGTTGCTCAGACTCATCCATGTCTGCCCCCGCTCAGGTGTGCTTATACTGGGGTTTGTTATCCTGAGCAACCTCATGCCAAGAAAACCTAAACCTGCAGGACATTTATATTTCTGTCTCTTTCCCACAGCTTGCTAATCAATTGGAAAGTGAAGAGGGCATTGCTACTGTTGATTTAGAAAGTGTTGAGCTGGAGCTTAAAGAAGGAGCTAATAGGAGAGATGCTTTGGCTCTAAAGAGCAGCAGTGGTGGTATTGTACAAGAGAGGGTCCTACGGATTAGCGTCCCTGAAAAGAAGGCAAATTTGGAACTACCAGTCAACCGTGCAGACAAACGTTATTTCTCCCTTCAGCAAAAGGGAGATACCAACCCCTTGCAATGGGGTCTTGTGTCAGATGTTCAAGTTGAAGACGGAGGTTTCATAGTTTCACTCCGCAGCATCATTCAGGTAAGTGTTTGCTGTTGCTGCTAAGCAGTTACTGTTTCTAGTACAAAGCTGCATTCGTCTGTACCCTGCTTTTATTTTTGATGCACAGGTTCACAATCATTTCAATGTGGGGGTGAATGTCTATTACATGACAGCCCGTGGAAATGAGGTAGAAAGTATTGGTGTTGTTGAACCCGGAAAGAAGATTAATTTGCCTCTAAAAGCAGTCTATACTCCAACAAGTGAACTATTTTTCAGCGTGGATGGGTAATTTTTTTTCCCTTCATTCATTTATTTTTGGCATTATTACTTTTATTGATGTTCCAATCTTTTTCATGTTTCTTTTCAGCCACTCTGTGTCAGTTCAGCCTTTTGTGTGGCGTGATTTACAGAAGACATTAGGGATGACAACTCTCCTACAGTGCGACCCAAAATCAAAAGAAGAAATGGAACCATTTTTCATCAAGGTTGTAAAGGAGCTGTTCTGTAGGTTTTACTTTAAGTTATGTTTTAGTTCTTTAACTCAACTGACTTCTTTTTTCGTTAAGGCTGTTGGAGAGATGGAACAAATATTTTATGAAAACACATCCCGTCACACTATGGCAAGCACTTGCTATAATGTGCATCTTCGTCCAGCTGTGATTTTGAAGAATTTCCTACCCATTGACCTTGTCTGTCAACTGCAGGGAGCAGCTGATGAAAAGCCTTTAAAAGCTGGAGGACGTATGCAAATTCCTACTGCTGAACCAGGAAACTTCACTGTTGTCCTGAGGGTAAATTTTTGTGACAAGAATAAATATTGTTATTTATTAATATTTCTTCTGTCTCTTAACAAAATTCTTCACTTTCATCATTTCAGATTCCAAATTACTTGGAAAAGGAATGGTCTTGTAAAAACCCTATTAAAGCTAATCCATCGGAATTTACTGTGTGGGTCTTTGACTCTTATGACAGCACTGAAAAAGTATGCCTAGATCTTGGTGTTCATACGGTCATGAAAAATGGTTCAATGGTGATGGCTATTTATGCACCTTTCTGGATGCTCAACAAAACTGGACTTATGCTCTCCTACCGTGTAAGTATCAATTTTGTCCTGGAATGTGAATGTCTTACTCTAGCCCCTTTAGCTACAAACTTTCTTCCTTGTGAAGTAGGGTCCTGCATGTGCCTGCATTTAAAACTTCTGTACCATGTGGTTCCTGAGTTATTCCTTTCTTTCCTCCCTTTGTTTTCATTCCCCTTGAACAATCCAGAAGCGAAGAAAGCCCAGAAAAAAGGTAAAATGTTGTGGTGGAGTGCTTGCTTCTCTAGTGTCCCCTCAGTGAAAAAAATGAAAAAGAGTTTTATGTTGTTAACTTTCTTATCTTGTTGTGAGTGAGCATCATTTGTTACTGTCACTGCTGTTTTCTAATTTTTTTATTTTTCCCTCTATGTTACAGCCTGCTGAAGAAACTGGAAATGTTGTTTATCACCCTGCTAACTTCAAGGGACCAGTTCTGTTGTCATATCGGGCGCGTGACCTGCATAGCAAGAAAAAGGCTTCTCTCAAAATCGAAGATGGGGAATGGAGCACTAACTTCCCTCTTGATGTGGCTGGCAGTTCGGGCCTTGTTAGCTGTAAAGTGGATGGAGTCATGTATCAAATTGGAGTTCACATCCAGCTCAACTCGAATTCCTTAACCAAACAAGTTACATTCACACCCTATTATATCCTGGTAAACAATGCTCCGTTTGCCATTGAGTGCCGTGAGGCAGATAGGCCGAATGACCAATGGATCAAGGTAAGACTACATACCTAATTTTTGAACTTATTTTTGTGTTGTTCTCTTTTAACAATATTTATTTTTGATGAAGGTTGAACCTGGTGCGTGCAATCCATTCTGGCCCAAAAGCGCCTCTAATGAAGAAGGTCTCCGTGTAAGGGTTGCTGGAACCACAGAGATGTCGGGCTCATTCTCTTACAGCACAGTTTATACAGTGCTACTGAGGCTGGACAACAAGTATGGTGGCCTAAATGTAGATGTACAAATGACTGAAGGTGGAGTCTATGTTTCCTTCACTGCATATGAGCCTGGACTCGCTCCTGCTCTTGTGATAAATCATACCTCTGAAATAATAAAGATTTGGGAGTCTGGTTCTGGCTACATGAGAAAGCTGGAAGCAAGACAAATGGTCTTATTTGCTTGGGAGAAACCATCAGGTGAACGGTCTCTTTGCTGGAGCTGCAGTAAATCCAAGGAATTGAGTGATAGTTTGCGCAAGGATGGCATAGGTGAATTCCATCCTCATCAAGGAGTTAAGTTGTACTGGGTGAGCTTTTTGGATGGTATACAGAGAGTCCTGCTCTTCACCCCTGAGGCTGCTGTGGCCAGAGATGCTCAGTCAGCGGGCGAATTAGAAGTACCGACCATGGCGGTGAGCATATCTATCCATGGATTGGGTCTGTCTCTCGTGAATAGCCTTTGCCAACAAGAACTTGTGTACATAGGAATAGCAAGGTTTGTTTTTATTATCTGAGACACAACATTGTGTATGCAATACCTGATTCTCATAGAGTTTAAATGTATTTATGCAGCTCTGGAGTTATTTGGGAAACAAGAAAAATCAATGGATCACGTTTCAAGCAACTTACCATGGCTGATGGACTACTAATGGAAGAAGCCTGGGAAAGATATAACCGAGAATTGCAAATAGGAAACTCTGTCAATCCACGTGTTAAAGTTGGAAAGTATGAGGTAACGTTACAACTATGTCATGATAATTTCTTTGTCTATCATGGCTTCATCTCAAAATTTCTCTCATGTTTATTTGTGTTGCTACACTGAACTTATTTAAAAAAATGGAATGTAATTTTGAGTTTCTCTTTGTCTTGAAGGTTGATTTTGAGAAAGAAGAAATACTGATTCCTTCTAAAAGAATACTGCGCCGCTCTTTCCAAACTGGTTTATGGATTCAGCGTAAGGTGTCAGCACATCAGGAGCAGCTTCATGTTAAAGTCAACCGTCTTCAAATTGACAATCAAATGGCTGATTGTATATTCCCAGTTGTCCTTGCTCCTGTTCCGCCTCCTAGAAGCGTAGCAGCGACCAGTGGTGAGTCTGTCTCTTCTTTCCGTCTCGTCAATCAACATAATAAATTTTAATTTCCTTAATGTTAATTATTTCTATTTTTAGTTCTGAAACCATATATTGAAATGAGTATTGTCAAAAGACTAACTGAGCACAGCCCTGTTCAGCAGTACAAGTACTACAAAGCATTGGTGCAAGAATTCCATGTGAAGGTTGACATCGGGTTTTTGAATGCCATCCTGGCTTTCTTTGAAGCTGAAGAAGTCTCAGATGCTGATGAGGTACGCATACAAGTTATTAATTCAGAGATTTACTTTCCATTAGGCATGAGACTTGTGGATGGTTAATTTTATTTCCCTAACTTTCAGGTGAAGACTTTCTCATATGACATGAGGGCTGTCGAAGAACCTCTTATGTCACATGTTGCTCTCCAATCATCTGCTGAGCAAAAGAACTTCTATGATCTTCTTCACTTTTCTCCACTGAAGGTTTGCTTCATGCTCTAGTTCGTTTTCCAATTTAATGTTTCTTCCCAAAATAACAAAATTTATCTCGAAATTTCAGATACATGTCAGCTTTTCACTCGGCGACGGTGCCAGCTCTCAAAACTTACCCAGAGTTTTGAGTGTGCTAATGCAAAGCTTGGGGGTTACCTTAACAGACATGAATGATGTTGTCTTCAAGTGAGTCCACCCCTTGTCTTAAGATTTTTTATTCAACTTTTCCTGTTTGTTTATTGTTTTTTTCTTTTTCTGCATAAAAGGTTAGCCTACTTGGAGAGGCAATATGTTTTCCTTACCCAAGCTCAACTACAATCTGAAGCAACTATGCATTATACTGGCCAACTTTTGAAGCAGCTGTATGTACTGGTTCTAGGCCTGGATGTTATTGGCAATCCATTTGGTCTTGTTGTTGGCTTAACAAAGGGAGTTGAGGATTTGTTCTATGAACCTTTCCAGGTATTGTGTTCATGCATTTAAAACTGAAAGTAGTCTCAGTGGTCTCATGCTCTTTTTTTCATAGTTAATGTCGTTTTTCTAGGGTGCAATCCAAGGCCCAGGAGAGTTTGCTGAGGGCCTTATTCTAGGAGTTCGCAGCTTGTTTGGCCACACAGTCGGTGGTGCCGCTGGAGCTGCTTCTCGCATTACCGGCACTATCGGCAAAGGCCTGGCAGCGTTGACTTTTGACAAAGATTACATCAAGAAAAGACGTGAGAATTTAAACAAGAGGCCAGCCAATCTTCAGACGGGTTTGGCTCAAAGTGGAAAAGGACTCGTAATGGTATGCACATTTTAACAAGCTATATAATGTGTCGTGAACTATGATTGTTGCTCTACAACCTGTTTTCAATTAGGGAGTGGTGGACGGAGTGACTGGGGTCTTTACCAAGCCAATATCAGGAGCAAAGGAAGAAGGTGTAGAAGGTTTCTTCAAAGGAGTAGGGAAGGGAGTGGCTGGACTTCTAACTCGCCCAACTGCAGGAATTGTGGACTTTGCTAGTGGATCACTCAGTGCTGTTAAACGGTTTGTTTCTCTTGATTTATTTAAACTGATTATTGCTGGTACATACATCAGTGTTATTTCAAATTATTAACTTCTATTGTTTTAGAGCTACTGAGATGACTGATGAAGTTGTGCGTCTGAGACCACCACGGTATTTCCAGCCCGATGGTTTAGTTCGCCCATACATTCGTCATGAAGCTGAAGGAAACAAGATATTGCAGGTATGTTATTTGGCATGAACATGCACCTCTTCTCTCATCCTTGATTTAAAAATTTCATTTTTGTTCTAGGAATTGGAGAAGGGTCGTTACAATACAACAGATGCATACATATACCATATTGCTATGACACGCTCTGGCAAAGAAATCCTTTTATTAACTGATAAGCGAGTTGCGTATCTGAAAAGTAATGACATCTTCGGTGGATGGCAGGTTTGTGTCATAATTAATTTGCCTTGGAGACCTCAAACTTTTGTTACAATGGCTTTAGCATTGTGATTTTTGTTTGTTTTTGTAAGGTTGATTGGACGTACACTTGGTCTGCTATGACAGAGGCTCCCAAAGAGACCTCTGATGGAATACATATCAGTACTGGAGAGCACAAGAAGAAAGCCTTTGGTCTCTTTGGTGGTTCCGAAAATGGCAAGCTAGTTCTTATTCCAGATAAGGTCCAGCGCCAGGTAAAGTCTTGAATAAATAAGTAGTAGTGTGCCTTAATTCCAGTTGTAAGTTGTTAGTGACACCTTATTTTACGTACTTTGCAGTGGATTCTCAAGAGGATGATAGACCTTCACCGCAGAAGTACCTAGTATTGGTGTCAGCTGTCACCGCATGAGCTGTGCAGCTGGTTTCCCTGTGTTTAATTGCATATGATTTGCCAAAGCAGAAAAACTTTGTTGTATCAGTATCTCTCTTCTTTGTCTCCAGTTTAGAATTTGACAATATTTCTAATTATAGGTTTGTAAAAGACCAGCTTGTTACCAGTTCAATGTATTTTTATTTTTGGCTTTTTGGGGATTATATGTTTAACATTGGTCAAAGTCTCACTCATATAAAACTTCGTCTGTGTCAAGCTTAAAGCGCACAAACTTCCAAGTTTTAATGGTTCAGAGGTGTATTTTCTATACGATCCTGATTTTCTTCTCATTGTGTACCAATATTAATCACAGCCACAAACTACAGAGTGATAGTTTTTCAGAGTCTGTACTTAATGATAGTGTCTGAAATGTGAGAGGCATTGTTGCCCTTGTCATTCATTAACTATCAGTTTGATATTAATTATTGAAGTGGTTGTTTGCTGAAACTTTGTACCTTTATCTAGTCATATTTAGATCTTTTTTCTTGTTAATGTTTTCCACTACAACTGTTTAATCTATTTCATACATACTAAAATATTGTGAAACAACGACCACATGTTTGCTCTTTCATTTTGAAAGAATTCTCAAACAGCATTTTTAAAATGGTTCATGTGATGTTGTGTAGTAGGTGCATATGTTCATGTTGACTTTCCCGGTTTTGTTCTTGTGATTTTATGGTGCCTATCACTAACGAGAACTGCTTGTGCCTCATTGTGTTTATTTTTGTATCTTGTCATTAACTGGGTATCACAATTTGGGTAATGTAGATTCTAGATTTAATGGTGTTGCTTATTTTATCAAAATGTCAATATAAATAGATTTTTTATTCCAGGCAACAGATTGATTGCACCATGCCTTTTTTATGAAGGGTTCTTGTCTGGGATACTCTATTTTGTCATTGTGCGTCTACTGCTCTATCTCTGGTTAGCTAACATACCAAGAACTGGAACTTGTGAGCCAAACTGTGTTTCTTGCTGAAAAGACATTATCTTTCTTGATCTTTGTATCAATAAGTCTGTAATCGAATTTTACTTTTATTTGTTGAGATGCATTCTCTATTGTGTGGGTCTACTTTTAGTCAGACCATTTGTGTCTTTGAGGATTCACAGGGTAGTAAATGGACCTCTTGAATTACAGTGAGTTCTTGTTACTATGTTTTCTTGTTCAGTTTGTTTGTTGCTTTTATTGTGTGCATGATCGTGTGTGTATGGGAATGCTTACTAAAATTTGTCTGTTTTTAAAAACCAGTGATCTATATACCATTGTCTTATGCTCTTTTTATACAAATAAAGAAATAACAAAGTTTCTGAAATTGTTACTGATTTCTTCCTGTGGGTTTTCCTTGTTTTAACAAAGAGCATAGTCAAAAGAAAGAAACACAAGGCGCGAAGGACTCTAACACGGGACTGGGCCCACGCGTTCGGCCGTGTCAACATGTTGACGATGTTGATGTGGCGCGAGTCCAGGCTGCTGACGGTAAACTGCTCACACGTACAAATTATTTGTCGCCCGCGAGGCGAGGGCTTGCCTTGGCCCGTGATCGTGAAACTTGCCTACAGTCGCCAAGTTACAAAGGTTGTGCGCAGGGAAAATTAGTGCCGTGTCGCTCCAGCAGCACAGCAGCCAACAAACGCCATTTAACTTTTTCTCACGAGAATGACATATACCAAATACCCATAAATTTCGAGATCATTTTGACCCACTTCCAAACGCAAAACTGTCACACGAGTTTTATCTGAAATCGAAGTACACACATAAACACAGCTGCAGTTCCAATAGATTGCTGGGCCTTCCCTCCCGACGGGCCGACGCGACGCGCGTCACCAGAGTTGCCTCACCCGCACTTCCCATCGTTCCGGAAACAGTCCCCGAGCGCTCCCGAACGCGCCCCACGCATGACTCTAGTAAACAGAACGGCGGCGGAGAAAATAATGGATGGGATGACGACACGACGGACACGATGTGGGTCGAGATGCAAGATGCGCTCGCTGGGCTGCAACACATCAAGCGCGACCCAAACATCGGCCGAGTAGTGCCACTGCACTGCATCGGGGCTGTTTGCCGTGCGTGCGTGTGAGTGTGTGCGTGTGTCTGGGTTCATGCAGGCGCGGGCAATGCTCTGGCCTGACCACTGCTGAGGTTTAGTCTCTGTGCCAAGAGTTCTCCCACCCCCTCTTCGCAAAAAAAAGACTCCGTGTCCTTGAACACTTCGCCCCTCCCTCTTTTTCCCAGGTGGATGGGCGGAAAACGTGACTGCCACCAAATGCAGCATTTACATTGCCAACGACGCTCTGTTAGGCCCCATTGGGGGAATTACACTGGCTCCACGTCCCAACTCACTGAGCGGGATTACCGTTCAGCGCGTGCTCGTTGTGCTTGTGAGTGATGCGTCACGGACTTTCGTCCGAGGCCCGGCGGCTCGACAGTTGTTTTGGTGTAATTTGAAGGACGGTTAGTCTTCCCGAGCCCAAATGTCTCTGGCTGTCACCCGCGGGTCGCGGGGCCTCGGCCTCCTCCCTTGGTCCCTCCCTGGCGGGGGAGGGGTGGCCAGGAGGCGCACCTGTCTCGTGCTGGGTTGTCCTGGGTCCTGGCGGTACTGCCTGCAGTCTCGCTCTCTCTTTCTCTCTCTTGCGCTCATGGTCGTCTGGGCACGGGTGCGAGAGAGACAGCCTGCCGGCCCGTCCTTGGCAGCGCGCCTCGATACGGTGAGTCGTCAGGCAAGGCTGCGGCGGCGGCCGGCGCGGTCATATAGGCGAGTCAAGGCCCCGCCCTGGCCCCTGGCCCCTGGCCCCTGGCCTCTGGCCCTGGCCCGCCGCCATGTTGGCCACCAGGCCGAGTGAATCGGTAAATCGTACCGAGACGGGGAATCTTTGAGCCGAGCCGACGGCCGACGATGAAGCGCTGGCCCGGCCGCCCGGCCCGCCGCAGCCGTCAACTCGAACGGAGGTGACCGTGAGAGGGAAGACCAAGACCTCCACGGAGCGGCGCACGGCGCACGGCGCACGGCGCACTGCACTCGGCTGCGGGGTCGTCGGCTGCGTTCTGTTCTGACGCCCTGCCCTAGGCAATGGGCCGGCAGGGGCGACAGGCGTGGGGGCACCGCACCGGAGGGCACCGCGCCGAGGCCGTGGCCCCGCCGCCCGCCCCCGGTCCCCTTGGCCCTCCACCAACCCACCAACCCCAACGGAAAACGAAGAAGGCCCACGGTGGCCCTGCCGCTGTCCACTGCTGCCTCTGAGCGAATAGTCTGGGGCTAGGCATAGTCAGAGTCAACAAGACACCGCTGCGGAATCCGGCTGAGACTCGCCGACTTTCCGCGCGGACTTCGCGGACTTGGGCCACTGCCGTCCAGCGCTGGCTGCGTTGGCTGCAAGGCACTGCATGGCGGCGTGGCGGCATGGCGCACAGTGGGCGTTACGTCAGCCTTATCGAATGGCCTGTGCGGCGGTGGCGCGGTGCGGCGCGGTGCGGTGCCTTGTCATGCCTTGCCGCCGCCGGGCCGATCTAGATGTCGTGGAGCTTGGAGCTTGGGGCGGTCGTTGACAGCGGGCCGGTGGTGCGTCAGGCAGTCAGGCCGTCAGGGCGTCGGCACTAGGGAACCACGCGCGAAGCACGCGCAGCACGCGCAGCACGCGCAGCGGAATCAAATGGAATGGCACGTCCGAGGCGTCGCCACGCCGGCATGGGCTGTCTGGAGCTTGAGCCGAGGCCTGAGCCCGTGCCGCCCGTGCGGCGCCTCTTGTCACAGTGTCACAGTCACCCCTGGTGTCCCGGTGCCCCGAACAAGTTGGCGTCCGCGTTACGCAACCCGCGGCCGCGGCCCCGGCAAGGCCCGGCCGCCGCCACCGCGGCCGTGTACCCTGGCAAAATTAGGACTCTCCGCCGGCAAACCTGTCCCACTGCCTCCGCGTCGCAAATCTGCCGGCAAGGGCAGGAGGTCATTGGTCTCCGGTTGTTGTGGGTTCAAATACGCGCGACGCGGGCTCTTTTGCTTTCATGGTTTTCGTCGAGTGGGCGTGTTTCCGCGGCCCTTCGCCCTCCCCGACGCCGCGGCCCGCGACCTGGCCTCGACGACCACAGAAGAAAGTTTTCCGTGGGGAGGTTACATAAAGAAAGTCCGCCCGCCGCCCTGACTTCTGTTTTCAAAGCGACGACGCGGCGCCGCGGTGTATGTAGATCAAGGCAGATTCCTGTTGGCTGTCTTCCAGCTGGCCACGCAGCAGGGCGGCCCGCCTCGCTCGCTCCCGCCGCGCCCGCCGCGCCCACCGCGTAGAGGCGGCATAGGGCGTCCAACGCCGACGTGTCGCATGGCGGTGGGCCGCCCGGCGCCCCCTCCCCCTCCACTCTCCCGCGCGCGGAAGTAAGGCTAAGGCAGGTGGTGAAATATGACAAACGGGATGTCCTGGCCCCCGTCCTCGTCGTCCACTACGTGCTCGACGTGCTCGAAGTGCAGCTTCGGCCGTGACGTCACTGCGGTGACCAGGGCACCAGGACCAGCGGCCCGGTGCACTGTGCACTTGGTCACCCACGTGTGCCGTGAGTCGGCGGCGCCCTTGCCGAGGGGCTGCGGGTGCTGTTGGACATTGGGGCGAGGCTGCAACTGTAAACACGCGGGCCGGCCGCGGCCAGGGTGGCGATGGTGACGTCACCGAGGGTCCTGCAGCTTGGTCTGGGTCTCGGAAAAGCAGCCGCTTTGGCGAACGCGGCCGCGCGGATCGGCCACAACAAAAACACGGGCGTCGCGTCGCGGCGGTGGGGGCCGCCCGGGCCCGGGGCCGGGGCCGCTGCGACGCGAATGATAATTCCCCTTTCTGGTTCTCGGTAGCGCCAAGTCCCAGTAGCGCCAAGTCGCGGCGGCCAAAATATTGTTGTTGTCGGCGGTCGCCTTGCCGGAGAGGACCGAGAGCTGAGCGAACGTGACGCCGTGACGCGGCCAGTGGGACGGGGCCAGGACGGTGGTGACGTCACCGCGGCGCCCTACGTGACGCGCGGCGCGCAGCGCGCAGCACTGCGCTTTGGAACTTGGAACCGGGACGGACGACGGGTTGGGTTGGCCGGGCCGGGGCGGGGGCGAGTCGGGGTGGTCCTGGTCCGGCCCGTCCGAGCGCCAGCAGCCTGCACCGGGCCGACGCCGCCACACCTCCCGCCTATAAATACGGTCGCACTTGACAAGCAGGCTTGGCTTCTTCTGCGGTCCGCGGTCCGCGGTGCAGGACAATAACTCTGACCACGTCCGAGTTCGAATGCATACGCGGCGGAGCGGTGCGGTCAAGCAAGGTCGCGGACGACGGCACCGCGGCGCCGCGCTCTGGAGCGCCGACAGCCAAATGGCCAATGGCGAGCCCGCGCTGCCCGCGCCGATGCAGCGCTGCAGCGACACCATCGCACTTGGCAACCCGACGAGGTTTCAGGGTTTTGCACTGCTGGGTCTTCTTCAGATAGGCGGGGGAGGGGAGGCGATATTGGAACGCCGAGCGCAGCGCGATGATGCACCACGATGCACCACGATCCACGCGGCGAATGGCGGACGGCGGACTCTGCCCCCGGTACCCTCCACCCTCCACCCCCGCGGCGTCAGCGCCAGTCAGCGCCACGGCGGTGGTCAAGGCCGTCGGCTTGAAGCTTGAGGCTTGAAATGGGAGCCGGCTGCTTGCTCTGCGTGCGTCTGTGTGTTCTGCTCGCTGCTCTGCTTGCTCTGCGTGCTCTGCCCTGCCGCCATCCGAACCCGAAACCTCTCGGCCCAACCGACCCGTTGATACCCCGGGCACCCCCCCCCCCCCCGGGGCCTGGGGCTGGAATAAGGGCCGAAACTCGGGGCCGGGGAAATGGACTGCAGAACAAAAGACGCACTCCATCAGGTCAACAGCGAGGCAAACCACCCTAACCACCCCACCCCGTCAGAACGACCCCCACTCACCCTCCCCAACGACCGCCCGGCCACCGGCACCTGGCCTACCCTCACCTGGCCATCATTCCGACCCTGCAGGGCAAGCAGGGCATGCCCCACCACCCGGCTGACCCGAGTCGGCCCCGCCCGCGCCCCACCCGGCCCCGCCCCCCGCGGCCTGAAAGCTAGAGCACGGAATAGGCCGGAAACGGGGCAGCGGCGTGCCGGAAACGTCCACCTGTTGAAAACCAGCAGCCCCTAGCAGCCTGAACACCGCTTGGACGCCCGACTCGCCATCTCCGTGTCCACGTCCACGACGTCCGCGTGCACGTGGCGGGCCACGACCTCCGCGTGAGGCCCCGCCCTCACCGCGAGTCCTGCCCCGCCCGACCAACCTGACTGCTATCGGGGCTCCGCG